TCCCAAGGCCCCCCGTGCTCCGGGAGCAGGGCTCTTGGCGGGAGCACACATATCACGTGACCTCCAGCCCCGCGATGGTCGTTACCTTCTGACGTAGACGTGGTTAGTCTTTAACCTCGTCATTCCGCGTTAAGGAGAGAATCCTTCTTGTTACTTGTAACAGTTTATACGTTACACCGCTTAGTTAGAGGCTTACTTATATATAGCACGTAGATGCAGAAGTATAAAGAGAGAGATATCATATAATAACTTTGCTCTCTTTATCTTTCTTCTTCTGTAATATAAGTAAATGCACACTCGTTCGAAGGCCTCTTCGCCCCTCAACACTATTAATCTAGGCCTCTAGCCCTAGACTCTCCTATCTATTTTCTTAACTATCTACTATAACAATATTACTATATAGCAGTGTTTTATTACGTTGCTTTTCTCTTAGTTAATAGCTTGGTAGTGTGTATATGTTTGTTTTCGTAAGTAAGACATGTTCAAATGGGCTACTTTACTAGTTTCTTGTTCTTTAGCACGTGGGCTGCACCGTTTAGCGCTAGTAGCGATCTGTCTTTTTAGAATTAATTTGTATATATTGGCTAAAATTACATCTATTCTAGCAAACTAGAAGTTGGTGTGGGTATAAAATAGTAGAGCATATAGACAATATAGACGAAGAGGCCTTCGAACGAGGCTACATTGACCTATTATATGTACAAAAGAAGAAAAATAAAGAAAGTAAGGCGATTATACGACGCCTCTCTCTCTATACTTTGCTTCTAAGTTCTTTGTACGAGTAAGGTTCTATATTTAGGCTGTGTAGCGTAGGCAAATGATACAATCACGCGTTTTCACTGATCACATGCGCAGCCTATTACAGTGGGGTGCGCTGCTCGCTTGCCTGCGCCCCTCGCTTACCACATATGTTACGCAATAGATTAAAATACTTTATATTGAGATGTAGTTCATCGAAAAAAATCAAAGTGACATTTCGGGTTTAGACTATGGAACAGCATTTACAACAATTATCTACTTCACTTTAGGGTAAACTATATTCCAGGCAGTGGCATGTTCCTTCAGAAATTTCCGTACTTCATCATGGTCCTTACATTGTTCGACCAGCGCCATCTCTGCATTCTCGTTGTAGACGCTTGTGTCCACGTCCTTGACGGCTGCGGTAATTGGCCATTCAGGGATCCACAGCGTGCCACCGTTATTGTTCTTATGTTTCCATCCATAAACGCCACCCATCTTTTCGTATTTAAACCCCTCCAAGGACTTGGGATCATACAGGTGAGTTGGATCTTTATACTCGTGGGACTTTTTAATCCGCCACTGAACAGACGGGTGGATCCATTCGTTGGTCTTGCCAAGTTTCTCTAAAGGTGAACGCAATTCTGTTGATCTGTCGACGCAGGCCCCTGGTGTACGATACTGTGGGCTCGATATGGCTTTGAACAGGGGAGTATAGCTATCCTGGTTCGGAAATAGTGTCCAATGAGGTATGCGGTACTCTGGGCAATTGCCGGCAATCCGGCAATATGACCGAACCATCTTCTCTTCCAACGTGTCGGAGGAGAAGAAGGACCCGAGCCATTTGCCAGTCTCATTGATGGCAGTGAACGCTTTGTCCTTTATACCAACATTTGCTTGCGCTGATTGGATATCGCTGTATTCTGTCATGCGTTGGGAGTAATTTGCGAGTGTAGCATTGGTGAATTCATCGAAGGCAAGGTACGGTCGGCATTGCTCGAGCATCCATGCGAATGTAATGTTTGCGAGTCCTGTTGTATAGCTGTTAGAGAGTGCACACTATACAAACGGCATCTGGCTAGAGAGAAGAAGGTAACAAACAAAAAGCGTCTACGACCTAGAACGCATGTGGACTAACCTTCAAAATCGGCCTTCACGTCATCTGTACCCCCACCAACGTTGATATGAACGCCTTTAAAATACATTAGGTTAGCTGGCCACGGATGTATGATGATTCGCTTACCTGTAAACCAGACTTGTACCAAGTCTGGTTCATCTCCTATGGCTTTTTTCGCGTTTTGTAACTCCTCATCAACCTCTTTCCGGTGTTGAGTGAGCTCCGGCCAATCGACCTCGTCTGCCTTCAGCTCTTCATCTTCTTTTGCAATGACTTGATCTTTTGGAATATAGTAGAGTGTTGGCAAGAATGGTTCCCTACGGTCGTCTAGTGCCAAAGCATGGAATGCATGCTTTATATCTAAGTAAAATCAGTCAAAAAATCAAGCCACATGCTCGGATACTGGAAGCTTACAGGGATTCCACTTGACATTTAGCCATTCATATTGTTGTCGACTGCTTGCATGGTTCCGAACATATGTGTCTGCAAGGCCGAGACTCCCAACCGTATCAAAAACACCAACAAGTTCAACTGACCGTGAATCTGGATACTCAATGTCACCAGCGATGTTCTGGATGCCCGTGTCGTACCAAGGTATTTCTTTGTATTCAGTTTCTTTCTTGCTTTCGGCGACCCAAGCTGGCTTGCCTTTAAGCCAGTCAAAATATTCCTTTGTCTTCCTGAAGTTGTATTTCTTTGTGTTCTTCTTGTATACTGCAAGTAAAGACGCAAAGTGCTGCATCTTGTCTGGTTTGATGACGCCAAAGTCAGTGATCATACCAGCAATGGCTCGAGCAGTGAAAGCGCCGCGAGAGAAACCAAAGCAGTAAATCTTATCACCGGGTGAATAGTTATTGACGACAAAGTTGTAGGCTTCGAGAACGTTGATAACTAAGCCATCGCCCGTGGCTCCTTGGCGGTTAGATTCGATTGTCGACAATGCGCCAGTTCCCACTCCGGCATCGTAGTAGACCAATTGCTGCCAAACCTTGTCTCCATCACGACCGGCTTTTGCAATAGTTCTGGCAATCCGGGTGATGTTGGATGGTAGATTGACCTGCCCACTCACCGAGGATTGCCAGGTGCCATCACAACATAAAATAATCTTTTTGGGGGCTGCCTCAACTACTTCTGGCATGTTGGATATCGAAGAGGGAGCTGCGAAAAGAATAATAAAATAAGAGGGATGATGAAAATACTTCGCACGAGGGAATGGTAGCCTGTTAAGTATAACGAAATCAATTCTCAGCTGCGATGAAGCGCATTGTGGCTGACATCGCTACGCTTAAGCACCCTCACAGCTACGAATTTCAGCGCATCTAGAACCAGCATGAATAATGCAGAGGTACGCCCCTAGAGATTATATCGAGCTGAAGATTGCTAAAGCGCGGCCTGTCGTAGAGCTAAGGTTTCGTCCCGGCCCGTGAATTCGCTGGCGCCTCTCTCTATCGAGCAATTCTAATAATCTGACCGCGCCTAGTGAAAACCAATAATGCGCAAGCGCCACAAGAACCTTAACAGCCGCACCCATACCTTTAAAGAATGCCTAGGCCATGTAAATACGATGATCAGCCAGCTGTATGGCGCCCTAGCGTTCTAGAAGGAAGCCTGGGCCAGAGCGCCACTCTATCTCAGCTTGGGCCGCGCGCCTCGAATGTTCGGCTCGCGCCGTCATAGCTAGGGTGGCGCCGAGGGTGACGAAGTGGATGGCAGCGGCAAGGCCTAGGCTAAGGTGCCGCTGGTTACGAACATGGTTTGAGAGTGGAAGGTGTTGGGGAGTAGGAGGGTAGGGGGCGGAATTTGTCGCGGAGGCGGCGGAGGGGGAGGAAGAGGGCTGTGGTGTTGGTATGGATTATATGCAGGGTTTGGAGGAAGAGACGATTGATGAGTGCTTTGGCAAATGCCTCTTGATATGCCTCTGAAAAGCTACCCCATACTTAGTACTAGCGAAGCATTCTTACTATAACCCTTCCTGAAGCTCTATACCTAAATATTGAAAACGCAACTGCTAAACGCGTAACTGAATAGGCCCTTAATGATGCCTGTGTACTGGCGCTACTAAGGCTTATACGGGCCCTTCTCGGATGCGTATGCATATGCATGCTCAGCCAGTATAAACCATTGCATATGACTGAAGAAATGTGATCTGCTCTGACGGAAACTCTGGCTGACAGCCAAGTCATCCAGATTTTGCGTCCGAAACTCTCTGCTAGGTACGAGAAGCTCGACTAAGGATTCAGGTTGTTGTTGTTGTTGTACCATTGATGGTAGTACTAATGAAAGAACGGACACTATAAGTAGACACTAGACATTCGCTACTTTGTATAGACCTAAGCAATACAATAACCTTGGGCTCCCTACAGCCTCCTGCTACACCTCGCCCATAACGTATATACCTATTAAGAGGTTTTAGTAGTAATACTAACCTATTTTTTAGAAGTAAAAGCGTCTTATGGAGGTCTATCTAAATCCTTTTATTATATATTTAACTATAAAGTTAATTATTTAATACCTGATTCTAGCAAATTAAGGTGCGGCCTGCTATTTTTTCTGGAATAATTGATCTGATACGCTGTGTAGCAGATAGAGAGAAAAAGGTCCCGCGATAGCCGTTTATTTAAGCTAATATCCCCACTTTCGATGTTTTCAATACCTGATTCTAGGAAGTCAAAGTGTGACCAACTATTATTTTCTATGAAAATAACATGATGCTTTGTACTAAATAGATACTTTGATTTAAGTTATATCAAGTATTCACAGCGTAGTCTCTGGAAGAGACTATGTACTCTACACACGTAACTAGAACTACCCTAGTTTAGGAGATACCTGATAGATCTCTGAGATCAATTGTTTAATTTAAATTATCGTGATAATAAGGTATATTTTACCTATAGACAAGACAGGAGCGAAGATACTCCTCTACCTGATGAGTGATAGACAAACTCACCAGTGTCCCAATGTACCCATCAGGCCGAACTACAGCGATAAGTCCTTCATCTTCCAATATACCATATATCTTATAGGCATCTTCTTTTTGCGACAATCCGTATGTCCGCATCTCAGCAAGCTGCTTCACAATTGGGGGAATGTCAGTCCATTCGAATCGCTTCTTTAAAGGGTGAAGAACGATAAGATCGATCGTGCCTGCAGGAAACCGTTCAATGATCTCACTGCAAGATATCAAGGCTGATTGAGAAACACCAGATTTGCCAAGAAGATCGTTGCTTGCAAATACAATGATACGGTATCGGCCTAATGAAGGTATCTCTTTGAGCTACGTCAGCTGAACTGCTATTTATTAGTAAGCTATATTGATGATACGTACCATCGTGTAATTGACGAGTAGTTGCATCCGCATAACGTTTCACTTCGACGTTGGGCAAACGTTTCCCTGGAATTAGTGCACCACCGAATTGATCGCCTGTACTACATCGAGGGGTCTCTGACACCCGAACCAATGTGCTCGATTGATAATGAAGACCACATCCGCTCGTAAATCCACTACCTTCCATGAAGACACGGAGGAATTCTTCATGCGTAAGACCAGGAGCTGCAGAATCCGTTGGTTCAATCTTGCCAGAGAAGATGTGAGAGAAAGCTGTGTCAAACTCGATAAGTTGGCGGGCAACATCGATGCGCTCCAACTCAAAAGTCTCTAGTATTGGGTCCGCTGTTCCTGGAGGAGGATGCGGCGTCAATCCGTGGATGTTGTGGGCGAGTTTCCATGCGAGATTGTAAGAGTCCATCATGGACACGTTCATGCCTTGCCCAGCTTTTGGGCTATGTGTATGGCACGCTGCTACTATTAGTGTGTGTCCCTCCTGTGAAAAGTTCAAGTCTGAGCTTACCATCGCCAACAATAAAAACTCTGTCCATACCGTCAGGAGTTCTCGCGGAAAACTTCGGTGTCATTCGTTGACCTATTTGGTACGCAGCCCACCAGTCTGGCGTGGTCCCTTCTTTGACGCTGATGTTGTAGGGGGAAAATACTTTGCGTGCCTGCTGAAATATGTAGTCTAGTGTTACAGCTTCACGTTTTTTTTTGTCGGCTGATTTCTTATCTGTTCGAGATTCTTCATCCTCGTTTACCTCCCCAGGCACCTGTACATAGAGGCGGGTAAGATACTCGCCGGTGGCAATCTGCTCCCTCGGGATAACCATGACTGACCCTGAATCGGAATGCACAGCACACCGCTTGCGGATGTCAGGAAAGTCTGTAGTCGCGACAAAGTCACAGACCCCCCATATATGATCCGTTGTCTCGCCCTGAAGGCTCAGTCCCATGCATGCTCGTACTTGCGATCTTGCGCCATCTGCACCAACAAGATATTTCGTGCGAACGGATCCCTGCTTCGTGATGCCATCAATGTCGTCGTATTCGTAGTTCACAAAAATTGGAAACTCGGAATTGGAATCATCCACAACGTATTCGAGGAAGCGATGAGACCTCCGAATTGTGTCCTCAGGCGCATACAGATGAAGGTTTTCTTCAAGTATCCGCTCAATGCGCCCTTGGTGGATCGTGACCTCGAAAGGGAAGCGAGCAGGCACGTTCACGTCAGGTACAAATTCAGAGCGCTCAATCCCACTCTTAGCGCCATTGTGATCCTTCTGCGAACTCACAGATGCTGCATTCCAGAAGGCGACCTCTTCTATATGACAGCCTTCATCGATAATCTCCCCGGCTATACCAAGGGACTGAAGGACCTCCAATGTTCGAGGCTGCAGGCCGTCTGCTTGACCAGCCTTTAATGTTCCGGGTTTCGAGTCCAAACAAAGTAGTGAAGACCCGGTAAGCCCATACCTGGCTAGCAACAAGGTTAAGAAAAGACCGCTCGGTCCAGCCTTATCGCGAAAGTGTCAGTGATTGCATTCTTTTTTGTGATTGCCTCAATACTTACACCGATGACAACAACTTCACGACTTTCCTGTGCACCCGAAAAGGGCCCCGGTCTAGTCGAGAGTCGGGGCAGGGGCAGGGCACGAGAATGAAGGATCCTGAGGTCCCTTGCTGCATTCGATGTCTCTTGGAAGACGGGCATAGCGTGGAGACTTTTGGGACAGTTGTTGGGTTTTTCTCGTAATTATTCATACTTTGATTGAAGGCACGGCGAGACTTTTAATAGTTTTCTGATAGAGATGCTACCCGTTGACAGATGGCTTCACAGGATGCACTGGTCACATGACATGGACTTAGCGCCGGATTTTCGCTGATGTCCGACATCCGGTACAGAGATTGCGGATAACCTCGGCCTTCCTATTGGCTGGGCCAATGTCATCTTTAAGTGGGGCAGCAGAAATCCCGGGTCTTGGACTACCAAATAAATGTCATAACGCCGGTTCTGCCCCTGACTTCTAAACTTCCGCCAGCGACCCGCACATCCTCGGATGTTTCCAATGCAACCTTCATCCCCGACAAGCAACACAGCACAACCGCAACGGAATACATTCTCTGTTGCGGATCTAACGGCGAAAGGATCGCGTAATCATCCACGAGTGAGCCACGCCTGTCAACGGTGCCGCGCAAAGAAGGCCAAATGCGATCAGCAACAGCCGTGCCTGAATTGCATTAAGCACGCTGCTGATTGCGAATATGGCATCAAAAGGCGCAGTCGTCAGAAAAAGAAGCAAAACTATGGAAACGTCAATGAAACGCTGAGTGCTCCTTTGTCTCCAGGATTTGCTACCAGGAGTCAAATTCCACCGAATGAAGGCGAGTTGCAGGAGCCTCCTCGTGATACAGCACCAACTGGTACATAATTCTTTACTTCCACTGCTTCTCGCATCATGAGTATCACTGACCTTGAACATTAGGTTTTGCATCTCGGGCCTTATCCGAAAATGCTTTAGACGTAGTAGGCGATATTAATCAGCGCACTCAGGGTACTGAGTTCTACGGCACATCGTCTAATTTTGTGCTCCTGAACGAGCTCTTTTCATTTGCCCGACAACATGGTCTCTCCAGCTATGTGCGCTCCGACGTTCATGGATCAACGACACATCTTTTCCCTACCAGCAACAATGGCCATAACGAGTCACATACTCCCAGTGAAAATCAGCTGTCGATTGACAACACTCAAAACGTTCAACCCGACCTGGCAGCCTTGTCCCAAGATCGGGTTTCTATAATTAATATTCTGTCAAACGAAGAAGTGCCCTCACCACCATCAAGACCAAAGACGCCTCCGCATATCGCAATTGACAGACAAGGCGAGCTAAGTAATAGGATGCCGACATGTAGCTGTACGGCGAATGAACTTTTAGGCTCAACGCTTCGCGAGGGACTATTGGCCGTGCCTCAAAGTGCTAGACCTGAGTGTACCGTTCATGCGATCAATTCTCCATGCCCCAATACAGTTCGCAAGGTTCGGGACCACGTGTCATCATCTACTCAGGCTCTGAAAAGACGTTTAGAAAAGTTGTACATCCAAATCTTCTTCCAGAACTTACACTATGTCCATCCCATGCTTGATCCAGTCCAGTTTGAAGAACGATGCGAGAGAGAAATATGGGCCCGACAAACCACCATTGAAAGATGCAAAAGCTACAGACACTTCTCTGCGCTTTATAACATTGTTGTGGCAGTGGGTGCCCTTATCGCGGGTAGAAACATTCTCAAAGATTTGGGACAGGACATGCAGACATATGTAGCAGGATTGGCGGCGCCTGAACGACAGATTTCTTCTCAGACAATCTCCCGCTTGTATTTTCGACAATCTAAGAATCAGTTGGGGGATACATATGCAGTATGTTCCTTGGAAAGTGCACAAACACTACTTCTAATGGTTAGATTCTTTTATGTTGCCTGCATTGCTACTTACTAATGGTCGCGCAGTCACTCTACTGTCAGAACTCTCATATGCCACACACATGCTACATGTACTGTGGTCAGGCCGTTCGTACCGCTCTCGCGATTGGCCTTCCAAACGAATCCATGTCTAGGTCAGCAGAGGACCGAAAAGCTGCGCGGCGTACTTGGTGGTGCATATATTCCCATGAAATCGATATGAGCTGCAGCTCAGGGAGAAGGGACAGCCTAAGGAAACCACACAGTTATCAAACCCCGCTGCCACTCATCAAAAACCGGATGGACGATGATCTTGATACCTCAGAGGTTGAGCACAAAAGCGTTGCCATGGTAAATGAGATGGTACGCTATGCTGCTATCCTTCGCCGCATATCTAAAGAACTATATCATGATGCCAAGGGCCTCACATTATCGGAGAAGTCAGCAATTGCAAACGAGCTCGATAATCTTCTTAGCGATTGGAAAGCCAATTTACCCGAATGGCTTGACCTCGACAAACTCTCTTTCCGAGAGGAAGAGTGGGCAGGAAAACTTAAAGTTGTTTTACAATTGAGGTACCTGAATGCGAGGATACTCGTACATCGAATATTCTTGATTCCGTCCACAAATTATGCGTTGGAGATGTCCGGTCATGTTGGACACTGTCTGAACGCTGCAAGAGAGACAATCCAAGTTCTCCATGATGCGTACACCCATCGTCACTACTTTCGCACATGGTGGTACAATTCGACGTATACTCTGTACGCCGGCATGATTGTTCTATATGCCATCATGCTCCGAGCCACTGCTTTGCGAAGTGAGGACCTCTTGAAGGATGTTATCAAAGCTCAAAATATCCTACAGTCGATGCAGGAAGCTTCAGTGGCTGTAAGGAGTGCAGAATTATTGCGAGAAGGGGTGAAAATTGCTCAGTCGATGAGCCAGCGCAACTCAGATATTTCTGTTCCACTTCCTCATGGCCACACAGACCAGGCCGACTATGAACCCCAAAGTCGAGGGAACTTCAACGTCCTAGGGCCGAACTTTGATTACCATTTCCCTAAGACAACCTTCGATGCAAATGGGCATGTCACAGACCCTGAAACGCTATTCGCATCATTTATAGACCCCTGTTTGCTACAGGATTTCACAACGGGGTTGAACGATCCAGCAGATATAGGTACCTCTGCATTCCTATTTGATGATCTTGAAAACGATAGATCAAGTGTTTATCAAACATTACAGCCTGGTGGCTAATCTACATCTGGAACCGGCAGATTTTCGGTGAGCTTGAACTTGCCTTTCAGGCCAGCTATTGCCTCTTCTGCTTTCCGCCTGCGTAACTCCGCTGCAGCTTCATTGTTGACCAGAACGAAGTTGTAAGAGATGAACGCAGACCCCAATTCGACCTCGTAAGTCTTGGCTTGCCTTTCATCCTTAACTCTCTGGAGCGCAACCAATAAAGACTCCTTTACACCAAACACTGCGTCTGTCGATTCGTATGGATCGTTCTTCAGATACAAAGCACTGTCAGAGTGTTAGCTGAGATTAAAGCGCGACCGAGGCTTTACCTACGTTATGAGGGGATCGTATCCCTCTTTCTTGAACATAAAATGCATATGGCTCGGTCGGTACGGATGACGATTCAACAATTTTAAAAGGTTTCCAACAGGTCCGTCGTGTGGAATTGGATAGGGAACAGGAACGATAGCTTTGAACCAGAAATTACCATTCTTATCACTTGTTAGGACAGCCCTGCCATCCGGGCCCGCCCTATCTTCGTGTTGAACATCGTAGAAGCCTTTTGAATCTGTCTCCCACACATCGATCTGCGCTCCTGAAATAGGGTTACCTTGAACATCTTTCACGGTACATAGAACAAGGAGCGGTTCTCCGTCCGGATCGTGTGATATAAGACTACCTTGGTCCTGATTCTTGGCTTCGTGTGTGTGAAATGGGCCAAGTACGGTGCCTTCAGTGCTTCCTTGGGGTTTAGGGTGGTCGATTGAGTCTACTAGGAGAGAAAGACCTAGTATATCTGAGAGTAAGATGAATTCCTGAATTAATCAGCAATCATCCTATCCACTAATAGAATGGAGTTACACGTACCTGTCTGGTTTCTGAGGAGATCTGGCCAACTCTAGTTAAGAAGAGGATAGCTGCCATCCACTCATCTGTTGTGAGCCTGACTTCCCTCGCAAGTTCGTGCAAATGTGTTACAGCCCGCTCTAGGATATATTTCAAGCGAGGATTGGAGCATTGGGAATTGATAGCGTGCACATTCTCGGTGATGTTTTCGGTGGTGAGATCTTTCAAGTTGACCGGGATTGACATGGTGGCAAGATCGTCGATTGTTTCAGAAGCCCACTGGAGCTGTTAAGTGCGTGTGGGATACTAAGTAGCAAGTGCTGTAGAGAAATAATGATGATAACTGAGAGTTTAAACGGGGTGGTCAACCTTTTATTGTGTTATCTCGTACAGTGTTGATATGTGTTTGCTTTGATCCGACATGTTCTTCAATCAACCAATGGCGGACCGTAAAAGCCTTCCACAATTCTCGGAAGTACTGACGGAAGACTGAGAAACGAGCTAATATAGTTCCGGAATGGAGAAAGCGCTGGATAATTTGAACATCCGACTGCGGATCCGTACAACCGGAGAATATGCCGTCCGCTAGCTTGCACAGATACAGGATCGGCAATACTGTCTTGTGCAACGCTTCAAAACCCAATCACGAACATCACATGAACCTGAATAAGACGCGGATATTCCAAGCACGGCAGCATGTGCTGGTCTAATATTTTTGTATGCATACTAAGCTTCACAAATCTGCCCTTCCCTGCTCACTAGCCCATGCCCGCCGTATCAGCTCCTGAATCTTTCCCTCCTCGATCTTTCAGGGATTACCATAGAGACTTCGCACCGCTAATGATGCGGCTCTCTCTATACCTCCCTCTCGCAACGTATAGCTTTTTAGCACATGGCACGCACCAAGTCGATCCAGCAGATTGTTCAGTGCTTTGACTGGATCTCCATCTGCATCTCCCAGCGCATCAGCTAGGTCACGTCTTCCTGCAGGTACGGCAGGACCATTGTATGCAAATTTGCATGGAATTAGGTTAGTGTGTGTTTCTGCGTGAGGTAGATTGGAAGTGCCAATAAGTGCATGGCATAGCTTATGATGAAAAGAAATGGTTGTGCTGCCCAGGCATACTCCAACACAACCAAGCACCATAGAGCGCCTTTTTACAAGCTTCTGAGTCGTTTGGAGATGTCGCAATGATGAGTAAGGTCTAGGAAAGAGGACTTACCCCTTCTTTGGCTAGGAGAAGGATGATAGAGTTTGTGTCTAGTGTGTATAATACTTTTGCGGCGTGCACAATCGCGTTGATGCCACTATTTATATTTATGTTTAGGTGCAAGTGCAGAGTAAGATAATTATCGTAAATAATAATGTCCAGTATTATTGCGTAATGCATTTGCGTGTTCTTCGGAACATTCACTGTCTCTCTAAGGATAGGTGTCATTTCGCTTCCGGCGTATGTGGTAGGAATACAGATATGTAGAAGGCCAGTGCGAATGCTGATGGCTGTTATGGGCTAGTCCTAGCAGGAGGCTGTAGGGAGCCAAAGTTTATTATACTGCTTAGGTCTATATAAAGTAGCTAAGGTCTAGTGTCTTCTTATAGTGCCCGTTCTTTCATTAGGCTAAAGTAGGGTAAGTATATAACCTACCCCATAACAATGGCCTTGCCGAGCCCAGTAGTATTTCCACCTCTAATTCATATGATTCTGTCTGCCTTGAGGTCTTTTGTGGCTTGTATAGCTTCCTAAGTTATCTCTATGGGCGTATGCATCGTTGCATTTGAGAAAATCCAACAGCATTTGGAGTCAATGCGCGCTGAAATGCAATAGCTTTTTCTGCCTGTCATCTAGTCCATAAGATCAAAGCTGCAATAGTTTCGTATCGTCGTAAAGTTACTTTACAAACTAGAAAACAGGATTCCTCAAACTAATGACCTAACACCATCAGTGGCTAGATGTGGACACTGGATATAGCCAATTCAGGTTAGCGTGGCCTGGAAGCCGGATGTTCACACGACGCTCGGGCAATTTTACCGAGCTTATGCCGTTGAATATCATAATCGCAAAAGAAGGTCGTGAGTCTTTGTACTACTTACCGTCATTCAGATCACACTCTACTTCCTCTTTTCTGACGCTTTTTCAAATACGTGGATCATAAACCTTGCATGATGGTGGAAATCGGAAATAACGAGGAGAGTACCTCGATGAAATTCTCTAGATCAACAATTAAACCTCATTCTACCTACCTCTAGGAACTCAACAAGGTGGCTCAATTCTCTAGGAGTAGTTGAAAGCGATTTCTCGCATTGCTTTGCTCCTACATCTTATAATTATAGGTAAGTTTTGACGATGTTTCGAAAAGTCGGTATTTGTACCAAACCTCGTACAAGCGTGTGAATGCTGTCTGTTATCTAGAGCAGAATCACAACCCAAGTCTTCACAATCACGGATTGAAAAAGTTTTCATCCCATTGTAGGAATGTCGTGTTTGAGCATGATTTCGTTGTGTCGAGAAAATACGTCACCCTAGCGTCGGACCTACTCCTCGTCAAAAGGCTTGTATAGCGGCAGTACAGCCAAGACCGCCATCCCTCTGTTCGGAAAATCAACATAGATCTGTGTGAACTTTAGATGAACCCTGCACAGCAAACTTTTCAGTTCTTCATAAATGATTTTAAAAAGCACAACATGTAGCTTATATTCTGCTTGGTAATTAATGCATTGACTTGTAGACCCACTGCTATCGGCTTGAGAAGGTGTGTTGTTTGAACCTAGGGTGTGTTTAAGTCGTTCTGAATATCTCCGGTCACTTGCATCCCTTCAGCATCACCATTCCACCCACCACTGATCTACTTTTATCTCAATTCGTCATCAAACTGCTAAACGTACGCTCTATGCTCGCTGCCGCACTGCTGGCACCTGTAACATTAGCCATATTCGAAAGCCTAATGGACGCGCCCACACACAGTCCACGGTACGACTACATTATCGTTGGCGGAGGAACATTTAGTCTCGTGGTCGCCGATCGCCTTTCCGAAGATTTCAACGTAACAGTTGCGCTTATCGAAGCTGGAGACATTGAGCTTGACAACACTAACATAACTAGCACTTCTAAATACGGAAATTCTTTTGGCACTGCTATTGACTGGTAGTACAAAAGCGCTCCCCAGATCTACGCTGGCAATGTTTTTTTGAGTCCTACAAGCAGCTAAGGCTCTCGGAGGAACAAGTGACATCAACGGTTTGTTCATGACCATGCATCAATAAACGTGTGTGATAATGACATACTGTCTTACGTATTAGGCATGACATATTTGCGAGCAGAAGCTGCTCAGATCGACCTCTGGGAGCAATTCGGAAACGAGGGTTGGAGCTGGGAGGACTTGATGCCATACTACAAAAAGAGCGAGTATATCCAGGAGCCCACTCGATCTCAAATGTTACGCAGAGCATCATTCGACCCCAAAAGACATGGTACATCTCGGCCATTAGCCGTTGGATGGACCGAAGACATGCTAAATCAGGAGACTGTATCATCAATCAGCCAGACATTCGAAGCACTCGGTCTTCCGTTCAACAAAGAACCAAATGCAGGGTCTATGCGGGGATTTACGGTATTCCCAAAAACCATTGACAGGACGAACAATGTCAGAGAAGATGCTGGACGTTTGTATTACTGGCCCATCTCGAAACGGCCTAATCTCGACGTCTTCCTCAATTCGTTTGTGGAGAGAATGGTGTGGCATCCAACTTCAAACAGCGAGGCTACCAAGCGAACTGCAAGCGGTGTTGTTTTCGTAGATCGTAATCGCACGCTTGGTACGATCTTGGCTAACCATGAGGACATCCTATCAGCCGGAAGTCTCAGGTCACCCTTGATTCTTGAGCAATCTAGGTTGGCAATCCTAGATAAGTAGCTCAATGGAAGCTTTGTGCAAAAGAAGACTGATCCTGGATTCAGCATCCTTAAAAAGCACGACATTGATGTTGTTGTTGATCTACCATTTGTTGGTGAGAACTTACAGGCCCAAACCACCACCGATATGTTCTACATCAGCAACAACAGTACCAACGCAACGGGTGCCAGTGGTTATGCAGCCTATTTCAGCGCGGATGACGTGTTCTGGGAGGGGCTTGATGCCCTTAATGCCACCGTAGCAGCTTCGATCAAGCAGTACGCTGAGATGACAGCTGATACTAGCGGTGTTGTTGATCGCTCTATTAGCGAAAGGTTCTTCCGCGCTCAGTATGATCTCATCTTCAAGAAAAAACTCTCGATTTCAGAGATTATCGTTACGCCCTCGTCAACTGGTTCTGTTACAATCGAATATTGGGGCCTTCTCCCGTTCTCCCGTGGCAGTATTTATATCAACTCGGCGAATGCTTCAGTACCGGGTGTCATCAACCTCAATTACTATATGCTTGATTACGATATACATCAACAGATAGGAAAGGCAAGGATGGCTAGGAAGTTTGCTAATAAGGCACCATTTTCTAAATCAATCTTGAATGAAATCATTCCTGGGTTGAGTAAAGTACCGAGCGATGCCTCAAATAGTGATTGGGAGAAGTGGCCGAAATCAACGTGTAAGTACAATTCCTATTTGAAAAATAATGTGATATCACGGCTAATAGGAGGGTAAATCTACAGACCGCCCCAATTTCCATTACATCTCAACAGCTGCCATGCTGCCGCAGGACCTCGGTGGTGTAGTCGACTCAAATCTTACAGTTTATGGTACCAACAACGTCCGCGTAGTAGATGCCTCTGTTGTGCCATTCCAAGTGTGTGGTCATCTGACTTCAACGCTGTACGCTATAGCTGAGAAAGCAGCCGATACTATCAAAGTTCATAATAAGTAGATTTTATATACATCACTTTACGGTGTGAAATATTGGATAAAAATCTTTTTAGTATTTACATAACGAGGAAATGTTTAAAGGGAAAGGATTTCCTTGATATTTTCATAAAGTAAGGAGTAACATTCTACACCGCACTTCCGGCACCAGGGAAGGCCTTGAACAGAGATTTGTCATACTTGACAAGCTCGGGGCACCCAAGTTCTGCAATGATTGGGTCTAGAACAGACGCCAACCTTTGCACAGCGATCAGGATGTTGCCAAACAATCCGCGGAGGATGTCGGGAGCACCTTCGCTAGCTGCCTGAAACGCCAGGCACATTAGGTTGTTTCCCTCAAGAAGTGTCTGCGCATTAAAAACGTTGCCTAAAGATCGGTGTCAAAAGTGAGCAGTTGTCTCACATGTAGTTCAGACAGAAGGATTACTTGCCTGTCAAGTCGTCGATGTCGACACCAGTGAACGAATTTGGTTGGCCGGTATTTCCACCAACTCGGATCAATTCGGGGTGGGCTACTTCAAGCGAAACGGCTTCAGCAGTGAACGACAGGATACCGTAATCATCACCGATGACGCGGCGGTACCACTGTCATGAGGGTTAGCGAGTGCAAGTGGATGGTTTTACGATAGCTACTCACATTTTCAGGAATCCTCTCTTGCCCGCGAGCCCACTTATAACTACCCTTTTCTCCAGTGACACCCTGGAATGACATGAGTGTCTTAGCATCGAGGTAGCCCTCAGGATTCTCAGCAGTGTGATTGGAGAAGAAACGGTAGGTGAATTGATATGTGGCGGGGTTTAACGCAAGGGTCTGTATCGGGCCCGAGAAGTAACGACCGTTCGTAGCAATAGAGTGCCTTGTGCGATCAAGACGGAACGCAGTCAGGACGGGAATGTCAATACCATTCTTGCCAAAAGACATAGAAAGGAGCTGTTCGAAATAGTCCAAGTTGAGAGATACCGGGTCACCACTACTAACAATGAGTTACCTTGACCATGCAACAAGAGAAAGGAATTTGAATGACATACGTTGCGTACATGTCCGATCGTGTGGGCGACCCATCAACCTCGAAGCGGTTGTGTGACGCACTCAGGCCCTGTGGTTCTCCGAGAAGTCCGAGTGATGAGACGACACCGCCTAGGAGACCACCAGTCTTAGGTTTACCACCAATCGAAAAAGAGGTGAGATCACCTGCCATGACAGCGGAGTAGACTGCCAGAAATGCAGATAGATCCAGGCCCATACCAAATACTGACTTTGTTAGCACTCCGTAGGTGAGAGAAGAAAGGCATGCAAACCCTCATTGGCGGCCGTAGTCATTTGTGTGATTGTGGAGATGCCATTTCGGGGAATATAACCGTGGTTTGCCATAACATTGATACCAGGGCAAGGTCCACGGAGATCATTGGGGCCCGGCGCAATCTGATAACGAAGTCATTAGCAAATGCAATTCCATGTTGTGTATCTCGATAGAGCCACTCACGTATTTATGGTCACCACTAGTACTGATGCGCTGAGCCTCTGCATTGAATGCACGTTTGACGTAGGTACCTGATCGTTTGCTCTCTAAATCTCTTGAAATCCTCTCCGTAAGAGCGGTGATTTCCGCAAGGGTCGTTTTACTTATGTCTCCTTTGAGCATGCTCGCAGGAAAGGCGAAGGTCGGCAATGAGAAGAGCGTTGCGATGCATAGTACTGAGACCTTCATGATTGCAACAACAGTATCAAGTGTAGAAGAGTGTGAAGGAAAGATGTGAGGTTGGAGCCAGGAAGATCCGGTCAGCAACAGCCAGGGATTGTTCAACTTTCAGGGTGGGAAATGAGTGCTGCGCACACGTGGGCCGCTACGATTCCCATCTAAATATCGTCGATATAGATGCCAACCTGGGATCAGGCACCTTCTAGCACAGCCCTAACAGCCCGCTTTACCTACTCCAAATTGGAGGGTGGATGGCCTGATGCAGAGAGATCGTCGTGGGTCCTCTCTCTGCCCGTGATATGATTGGGGCGGAGTTATACTAGAGGGTTGCAGATCTTTGCGCGATGCCTTCTGTGCAAGGGCCTTAAATCAACCGCGACCCGCTCGCGCAAGCCACAGATCAGTTCGTTCTTAGATCTGCTAGATCTAGCGACTCGTGTCAGGGAGAATAGCGCACCCAAGCGTCATGGCTGAATACTCGAGGCTTGTATTGCTGGCCCTTGTGGCTCGTCACGGTGCCTAGCATCTTTCTACAACAAACCTGCTGGCAATAATCTGACAGGCCAAGACGTACTCATCCAAGACTAGCGCGTTTGGTCTATCGGGCATGATCTCTCCAGGGATGACTAGACCATCGTCGATCATACTACTACCCCGTCTAGTCCAGCCCAGACGGATCTCAATTTCTGAGTATTTAGGCTGCCTCATCCGGTGCAGGCTTCTTAGTGGGGTCGCATCCAAGTCCGAACCTCGCGCAGGGAAGCCCGCACTACATGATTAGCGGCGAACAATGCTTTGATCAGCATTGCCTAACAGCCAAGCCAGTTGCCTGATACCCACGTACTATTCTAAGCGTCTCCACAAGCATATGTCAAGACTTACACTCCATAACTGCCGCATGGTTCTAGTTTACGTTATAGGACACGGCTCTCAGCCGAGTACCCACTACTCACGGAAAGGGGTAAATACCAGCCACTATCGAGGCGGATAACTTCTATCCGCAGCCCCATCCTCAAAGTCATTCGATATAAACTTGATCCTTGTCCCAAGTCAGCATCGTGCCGCCATGAACGCTGTTGCATATCGATATAGCTTCAAGGAGCATTCTCATCAATTTCTTCTTCTTTTTGCCACTCTTGAGTCCAATCAAAATGGGTCCTTCCGATAGTTGGGTTAGCAACCCAGACGAGAGCCATGGACCGCTTATGTCCGTCGTCACCTGGTCGCTGGTCTCCGTCGCTGCTGCCTTTTTGATTCCTCGGCTTTGCATTCGCCAGCGTCAAGGGAAGCTCTGGCTAGACGATTGCACACTTGTCGTCAGTTGGGTAAGTGCCACAACATATTACAGCAAACAACAGTTAGCTCATACGATAAAGATCTTACTTCTGGTCCAAGTTTCCATCAACCAAGCATCTATCAACTTAGGCTATGGAAGACACACATTTGACCGTAACATGACATAGGAGAGTCTTACATTTTACAACTCAGATTGCTAATATTTATGCTAGTCGACTTGCGCAATCTTGACAAATTGATGTATATTGGCGGGGCGGAACTGACAATATATACTATCGCTATTGCACTGAGCAAGATCTCTTTCGGGCTTACTTTGCTTCGGCTGACAGATGGATGGGTCAGACTCTATGTTTACTTTGCGATCTCTACACTGGCAATCTTTGCAGTCCCTGCTACCATAATACCATGGGTACAATGCAAACCGCTAGCCAAAACTTTTGTGGACTTCATACCGGGCGAGTGCATCAACAAGCACCCCTCTGTTGTGTATGGGCGTTTCCAAGCTGGTGAGCAAACAGCTCCAAAGTTTCTACTTTGATTCCTTAGCTGACTTGCGATGCAGTGTGGTCCGCACTTATGGATGTGTCTCTTGCTATATTGCCGTGGAAAATCCTTTCGAACCTGCAAATGCGCACCGCAGAGAAGATCGGTGTATGTGTCGCCATGAGTCTGGGTATACTGTGAGTTCATGCATTGCTGAATTGAACTGAAGACTGAACTAACTTCATCGAAGAGCCGGAGTCACTTCAATCATTAGATCCACATACATCGAGAAATTGACAGTACAGGATGTATCATGTGAGACATTTCAAGACATGCACCGGTTATCGCTGATAGCCACAGACGAATCGTACAAATCTATTATATGGGCAGTCGCAGAGTGCTCCATGGCCATTGTGGCTACCTCAATTCCGGTACTTCGCGTCGTTTTCAAGCATGCTCTGAACTCCGCGATCGAAGGCTACACAAGCTCGAGTAGAAGCAAATCACGAAGCAAATCACGATCGTACCCTTCCTATGCTGTGAGCTTGAAGAACCAAATGAGCACACGACAATCGAGCAAGAAAACACCAGAGATAACGGTCAGTGGAGAATGCGGTGAATCTTTGGAAGAAGTGTTTCGACATGGATCGAATGGGTCACAGAATTATCTAGAGCTAGGTGATCTGGCAGTCGACGAGCAGACTGGGCGTATCACTGCTTCGTTTCCAGAATCTGTGTCAGACCATGCCGAGCGCCATGTACCAAACTATTCTGTATGAGTTGCCCTACGATTTCCTTGAAAGAGACGGCTAAGGGGTTGTGTGTAGAGGAGCCCCATAGGCTTGTTTGTTGGTAGTAATCGTCAGGGTCAGAAAAGGGTTTACTACCAAATATGTATCTTTTCTCATGTAAAGCAGAAGAAGGATAAACAAAAGAGAAGTAGGGACTTCCTTGTATCGAATTTGTTCTTTGTGCACTGTCACTTTCATAAAAAAGCAAGAAGTTTTGAGACGCAGTCCCCAGAAGCAGCCTATCAACCTATTGACATCGTCGCATTGACAGCCTTTTCAAACAAGAAACTGATCATAGATCAACCGGGCACACTTGAGCTCGCAGTCCCGTCCCTCGTCACCTTCACCGTTGCCACATTCATGTCATGAATATTGTCAGTCTACCACGCTCGCATATTGGCATAACCACCCAGTACAACACGTGCGCTTTATGAAATTACGCAGAATCAATGATCATGACTGCCAAATTTCCAACAGCATCCAAAAAAGCGCCTGGTTTGAGATTCGCCCTGCCGCTAGCGCCTAATCTCACGGCTCCCGGTCTAACATTGTGAAACTACGCAAAGGCCGCAAGAAGCTTGGTAACTTGAAGTTATTGTCCATCGATCAAGATGAGCTTCTCATCATGATTGTTGTTTGTTGCACAGCGTTGAATAGCTCCCCAAAATTTTGAGTAGCCCACGTTCGAGTTTACGATGCTATTAAAGACGATGTTTGTCTAAGTGAAGCTATCGCTAGGTCGGCCTTTGGAATACTATGCCGTGCTCTAGCCACGTTCATTTTCAGATATTTCTTTGTCGCTGAACAAATCTGATAGCGACTCTGACTCATCACCAGCATTACTCTCCACACTGGTGCCATTAGTCTCGCATTTCGGCTTGGCATGTGAAGAATTAGATGCTAATGAAGAGCTTCTGCAACCGCTATTCAGAGTAGTCATTTATTAGCTAGTCTTATCACTATAGGACTTTTGCTTGTAGCTGCATTGAGATGATAAATATTCTGTAGTCCGCTGCCTATCTATAGGGACCAGTAGCAACACTAAAAGAGATGGGTAACAATAGAAGGAAAACGAGTTGCTCAATTCGACACTAACTACACAGCATTAAATAGAATTTAATGTATAACAGAGTTGCTATTCGCACTTATACAACTATCTTACGCTTGAACAAGCGTAGTGTGGAGACATAGAGATTAGTATGTATATCATATCCTTGATTGCATTGGTAATGTCATAAGGGCCTAGTTTTGAATTTATCTCTTGCTATAAACTCCTTTGTGTAAGGCCCAGGTATGCACGAGTCAGCTAATTACTAGATTAGACAATCTAACCACTACTTTCTCACCTTCTTCGAACCAATTCGGCTGAAACTCAGGAACATTCGCATCTTGGTACAAGCTCACTCACCAATCATAGTAAAGCGATGAATTCGACTTTACCGAAATAAGCAGCATACCTTGACACCGCCGTGGTCAATAAAAACCACTTGACCAAGAGTTCAACATCATTTTGTGAGCATTCCTAACTCCCCACCAAACGCCTCCATCTCCGGTGCATTGCCACAATAGAACTTCTCGCCTTCGCTTGCCATCGGTATCTGTTCCGAGACATTCTTATCGACAAAGGTCCACATCTGCCAAGCATGCCTGTCAGTAAACTGAACTTGTCGCATATACCCCCTAATCTAAATCTACTCACTCGCGACCGCATCAAATGGCAACGCTTCCGCGGCAAGCTGCATATTACAATGCACGATCTCAGCTTAGAGCTTAATCATATCTGGATCAAGCCACGGGTGCACAACCCCGTTCAGCGAAGCCCGGCTCCACGACGGACTACGCCACTTAGTAACGTGCTGCTCTAAGCCTTTAGTGTTCCACAGTAAATCGCAAAGATACTTCATCCACAGTCCGGCAAGATAGTCGCCACTCAGCGCAGCCAAATAACTCTCCAAAATCGCCGTAATAGCAACGTGCTCTTCTCGACAGAAATCTTGTGCTACGTGAAAGTAGTCAACAAATTATTCCAGTACAACATAAAATCATGTTTTCCTTTTTCCGATCTCCTCCAGTTCCAGTCACTTCAGCCGCCCAGCTTTCCTTGGCGTCTTGAACATATATCTCGGAAATCCCGTTCTCCACGCCAAATCGTCCCAATCGATCCTGCTCTATCCATCGACCTGGAAACATGCCTGGCACTTCTAAAACACCTGCGAATCCATCGATAACAGGAGCGCGCGCGTTCACGCATAAAGGATGGGACACCAAAACGTTGTACAAGAATGACGAATCGCTCACGACGAACTGTACATGCGTTCGTCCGGCAAAGAATGAAGTGAAAACAGTTTGAGGTGTTTGAAATCCTGTCCCAGGAACCCGTCTTGCGCACTGGCTGTTCTGGTAGATATGTCGCATTTTAGAAATTTCCCGGATCAAGTCGTCCACGTCGTCCTGGATGATGCACAGCGAGCCGATCCAGATGAATTCGAGCCCCAGATTGTGAACGACTTTGAACGCATCGAGGATAGCTTGCGTTAGCACACCACAAGGTAAGTATTTGAAACTTTGCGCGAAATTCGCGTGCGTTGCGGCGTGGATTTGTGCGCCACCCCAGCAGTAACTTAGAGAAGCAAGGAGTCGCCTTTCATCTTGCTGGCCACCAACTCTTCTGTACACCAAGTAGAACATGTAATCTACTCTTTCTTATACTTTCAACGTGCAGCTTACTTCTAGAACCAACTAGTGCATAACAACTGCTACATGATCGTCCATGTACTTGGAGATGTCACCTAGGAAGCAGGCTGAAATGATGCTCACACAGCCAAAGGCAATGCTAACATAGTACACATACTTGTATGCCTCTGCATACGCAAGTTGGCCGGCGTACACCACTAGTTCGTATGCACCAGGTACACCCTTAATTCCCGGAAGTTCCTCGAGCAGTGGAAGAAGCGAGCTACCAGTAATTCCAATCGCTTCGCCAATAACGGAGGAAGAAGTAATGTTGAGTTTTGTGACCATGACGCCACCAATGTAGTGTGTGGCCGCTGGTACAAACTTGGCTTTGAAGCGTGTTAAAATAGTTTTCTTTGGAGTTAGGAAGGAAGCTTACAAATAAATACATTATAGTAGACGCAATAACCGATTGACCCGCCAAGAACACGAATAGCGAGGGTAAGGGCGGCGACCGTAGCGATAAGATCGTCGGGGCAGATAATAGTCGCTGTTACTATTAGCATGGCACTCGTTATCAGCAGATCAACGAAAAACTTACATATGATAGATGCTGGAACCACAATACCTCCAATTCCAAGACCTGCCAGAACTAAAATGCCCCAAAGCTGATGCAGGTTATCTACTCGGCCAATGGCAAGAGCACCACAACCGGCAGTCATGAGTATAGAAGAGACGATAAGAAGTTCCTTATTATGGCCTCGAAGCAGAGACAGCAGCCATAGCACAATGCAGGCCCCAGCAAGGATAGAGAAGCCGACTGGAAGACCGCGAATACCGACGCCAATTGGGTCATGGCCATATACATTGAATGCCTGTGTGGGCCAGAACATAAGTATGGAAAAGAAATTGGCTCCGGAGATGAAGGTGATGACAAGGGTAAGGCCCAAGATTCGTGGTTCCTGTCGCAGTCTTTTAGGAAACATAGGATGGGTTGCATATCCTTGCCAAACGACAAAAGCGATGATAAGCACGGCGCCGAGGATTAAGGGCACAAGAACATGAGCACTGTGCCATGGGTACTGGTAGCCTCCCCATTGCATACCCATCATGAATAGGATCATTCCAGCGACGGAAAGGAAACCACCGACATAGTCGATCTCAGCGAGAATCTGCTTGCGGCTCATGCCTTGGCTGTTAGCACGTGGTGGTGGATGGTAGAAGAATGCGACTAAGGCGAGGCCAATGAAAGCCCAGAGTCCAATCCAAAGTCCAATCCAACGCCAGGTCGAATGAGAGGCAATAAGCTGCGCCCATAGTACAGATGGACAAAATGGAATGATAGTAAAAACGAGGACTGCAACGTATTTACCGCGTTGCGCGGTAGGAGCCAGCTCAGATGTCACAGCCAAAGCCGTCAATTCGTTGATGCCGGCCCCTATTCCTGCAAAGACCATACCACAAATGAAGATGTTCATGTCGTGAGCAGTAGAGCAAACAATCATGCCGATGATGAGGAACGTCGCTCCGATCATCGCAACCCAGCGACGGCCGACAATATCAGAGATGGATCCAACGAAAGGGCACACTGCGGCTAACGAAAGAAGGTTTGCAAGGATGAACCAGATCCATCTATCAGTGCCGCCGATGTCGCCATAGATGTATGGAGGAACACCACCGAACAAGTAGACAGGGATCTGACTACCAGTCCACACTAGATGCAAATTAGTTAGGGTGTTGGTAGAAACAAAAGAATCACTCACAAAAGGCCATGGCAATCAAACTCATGATGCGGCTAAATGTCATTGGGGGCTCAATGTCATGATCTTCAACATCGCTGTATGTCCTCGAACCATTTTTCTCGTAATCATTGGCATGGTCAGGCACTCGCTCGTCGATTTTTACTTGTTCAACTTCCACGGCTGTGGGCTTCGATGTAGAAAGGTGCTCCGAGCCATCTAATAAAGCATGTGTTTAGTAAAGTATGAGCAAACCTGGAGTACGGCAATGCATACCGGAGCTGCTAGTATCCGCCGCCATATGCTGAATTTGAGTAGAGACCTAGAAGTTTGGAAGTGGAGCGAGCAGGAAAATGGGGCAAGATAAGGGAGTCGGTGTTGACTCTTCAGGGTTGGGTGTACCGATTTCTTAAATCACCGCCTGGCTGGGACCAAATCCAACTCGGAACGTGGACTTGGATTCGGCGACTCCACAAGAACGCCATCTCGACCCCATAGGGTGCCATCCGGCCTCCAAAAAATAAGCCCGTTGCGGGGTATACATGCTAGTAAGGGCCGAAGCTTCTCCTAGGGCTCAAGTTCACGGAGACAGGATACGAATGGGTTCTGGCCGATCACTGTGGCAATACCCCGGAGGTGCCATTGGCTGACCCACGACATAAGCGTCGGAAGCCGCGCAAGCTACTATGAACATAGCTGTCAATCAATGAGAATTTACCGCGGCATGTCGTATCGCGCCTCGCAACGTGCTACCCAACTGCCATCTCAACGTGCACTTACCTGACAACCACAAAAGGTTTAACTATGGAGGGAATTCTTCGCGAAGCCTAATAACTGCTTGAAATAATGCCTGCCACGGGTGACAAATGCTGCACTGCGCAGAAATTAACTTCGGGCAGCTTGCGTGGCGCAGGACATCCTCCGAGACGGCATGAATTGCAGAATAGGTAAATGGGTCCGGCGCTATGTCAGTAGTGCCGAACTACCCCGCATGGCAATTGCTTGACTGGACATAAGCAGTAAATAAGCACCTCGGTAGGCGATAACAAGCTTTTCGGTCATCTTGCGAGGGCTTCGGGGAGAGTGGATGCATAGAGACTTTGTGCGACCGCATCATACTACAAGTATGTACGATCATGTACCAAAGAGTTGATATATGGGGCGATCGAGCCAGACACTGGGTTCATGCTAATTAGCTCTATAAATAGGAAAGCTCTCTCCAAATTCAAATGATCTACACACAATCCGAGAATTCGCAAGATCTGCCGTCTTTTCCATTTTTGCGTAACTATACCTATCGGAAAACCTTTCCCACTCTCGCCTTGAGCACTTTGACATGCAAAGCTAGACTCTCAACTTCTTCTTGCTCCTCTACAACCGACAGGATCGTCAATGACTCTCATGCGAAGCTGAATGCCTCTTATCGAAAACAAATGCCCAAACCTCTCTCTGATACTCATAGTCGTGAATCAAAGCTCCTCGATATTTTATTAGGCCATTGCGTCATTGCCATCGACGAGAAACAAGTCGTTTCCGTCCATTTGAATCAAAATTTCTTGCGCAACAGCGGCATCGAATCGCCACTGAACACCCAGAATGATGTACGAAAGCGCATTCTAGCAGAGGCAAATATGTATTCATCCCACCTAAACTACTAACTCTATCAACATGGGAACTATCTGACATCCAGCAATGTTGTTGTTGTTGTTGTTGTTGTTGTTGTTGTTGTTTGGGGGGGGNGGGGGGGAGGGGGGTGAATTTTCTTCGGATCTTTCACACTTACCTTTGTAAACCATATTTCTGGATTATCGATGCGCCGAATGAGATTGCAGATGCTGCGGTGTTGTGTATTCTTCAGTATCGAGGTTTGAGACGCTGAAGAACTACAGTATCACGACGGCTCCCAGCTTTGGGTCTGTCATAAGTGTCCTTGCATACCGAGCCGGCTGGCATTGGATCTTTTGGTTCTTATCAAGTCTTTCATAATTCGTCCTCATACTATTAACTCTTAGCTTTCCTTAGACGGCACGACCTGTTACTGGCAGTGGATCATTTCCTCCGCCAAACTTGTTGGAGCAGCTTGTTCCTAAAATCATGCGCCCATGGTAGAAGGAAACGCCACAATGGTCAAATTTTACAGCTTGAATGAACTCCAAACTGGCCTTATTTATCTTCCTGATGGTATTAGTCATCTTGTTTGAACGTTTATGTCTGGGAAGCTGATCGATCGCGAGTACCGTATCGTGGCCAATAAGGACGGCATAGCTATCGACAACGAAGGAGGCGTCGACATGTCTCATTTTCCCAATCTAAGAAGATAAAGTCAGAAGCATGTTCGTGCCTAAATTTCTTGCAATGGCCTCGATGGTGGGATATGGGTGGTTTTTGCACTTTCACGCTGTAAGCATCGCTAGCCCAAACGCATGGAGGCTGAGACTCATCCATTGACTTACATATGTAATATCTTGCTATGCCCATGGTAATACAATTCATGGCTGGATTTGTTACCCAAGCATGTTTCAATGTAATTCAAGCTCTTTCTGCGATTCTGCAGCTTGCCCGAGCTTCTGAGGGCAACGCAATACATCACTTCATACCGCTTGTATTGAAGGGCGGCATCAAGAAGATCATTGTTATCTCCAGTCCCCATGCTGATCTTAGCCTCATTAAAGATATTGTCATGGAAAACAACGCGCTGTATGTTGCATTCAAGGCTGCCTCGAATGTTATAATAGCAAAGTTCAGTTCGCAGTACAAGAGAGATGGTGCGCTCACTTTCAGCGTGAGTCATGAAGCAGTGAAAGTAGGGCATTGGGATGTTCGTAGGTACTTATTTCCTTTTGTTACTTATCACGATTTCTAGATAGAAAATCAGATTTCTAACATCAATCTTGTGGCACGATACGTGATCGAGATCAAAAGACTAGGAGGGCAACGCGCAATCGAGTAAATAGAAATAATCTGATAGGTGATCGATGTAAAGGATTGATTGAAGAAGGTGCCTATCTACATGCGAAAGAAAATCACAATATATACTATGAACTAGTCACGTGACCCCACACTACAATACATGGTGAGACATAACCAGATCGAGGGCGTTGAGGGTCTCATAGAAAGGTTGTTAGAGTGTGCGCCTCGCTTCAGGGGAACGACACCCATGGGCTAGACGGTTCGGGCATTGAGAGCGATATTGGAGACAGCCACCAATGAGGGTGGGTTTTCGTGTTCTTTTGTCTCGCAATATGGAAACCAGTAGTGGATATAAATGTGAGATTGCCGTCAGCGATTCATCGTGGCCTAATGTTCGTTGCAATAAGTAGTCTGCCAATTCTTAGCTTTACTCCCTCTCTCAATATGGTGAATGTATTTTGTGGTCATTTTTCAGCTGAAGTTCAAAGCGCGATGCGGCCATGTTACTGGCTTACAAAGACGAAGTCTAGGATATTGGGATAGGCTAATGTGTCATCCCTACCTTCATGCGACCGTCACGATCCGAACTTCATTGGTCATTAATCCGGAATAATCCGCAATTTCGACCCTGATGCGTTATCTTTCAGCCGTATTCTGAAGACTAACCCCTTTGATGATCTAATCTAGTCAAGCTCGATTCGACATCAACGTGTGTACTCCAACACACGACAACACAGCAACTACAAAGTCCCGTGTTTTTGACCTGTTTGCACATCGTCTAGGAAGCTACGGCCATTTCTGTTCGATGATGTACTAGGGTCGACAAGGGAGCGGTGCTATTTCTCGCCAGACAGTGTCTTGCTAGAAAATCTATACGAACAATCCAGAAGGGAGCGCACTTCTTCATAGCGCCTTCGTGAAATCCTCGTAGGCTTTCTTTCCAGGTTACGAAGCGAAGAATAAGTCATGTAAACAGTGTAGCGAGGGAGCGTCTTTCATCCCTGTCTTGCCCTCGCCTGCAGGCTATGAACAGCTTTTAGAGCCTAAATTTCCCATCATTGTTTAACAACCTACTTGTTATTTTGAGTTTGCGCTAAGCCGAATATATGTGGAAAAGAGGTATTCTCTTTATATTATACCTAGTAAACACAAAAGCGCGACTACGTTTGGCACATCGCGTTCATTCCGGCAGAGCCTGCTAATCCTTAAAGCGCAGATCTAGCCCTCTACTACGGCCATCTCTCGAACATAAGCAGTTAACATGTCCTTCATCTCCATATAGCTACCCAAGTAGATGCCATAAATAGCGAGATTAACAGTCCTAATGTGGAATCTTCAACGTGAATTGTTAGCTAAGTAACTTCGAACAGTATAGTCCTTCCAAGAAGTCTGTACGTAATTGTGGCCTTCTTAGGGCTATCAATTCAGTATGTGGTATTTTTAGCCATCTAGATACGATAACGCAAGTGCCGAAGAGGCTAACCTCTGTGTAGCTAAATAACAACACCTACCATTGCCTTTCACGTACGTCCCCAAGCCTTGGCCCTTCCACTAATCTGGATCTTGAAGCTGTATCCTTTTTGCTAGCGCAAGTTACCAAGATCCAGGTTATTGCTGACAGGGACTAATCATAGTTAAGAACAATGATAAGCTCTCTTACATAACAACCTAAGAGCTTGTGCGCACAGAGACAAGCTGAACATAAGCCTCGTCCACACATAGCTCCAATGTATATTAGTCCTAAAGCATAGTCCTTGAGCGAAAGCATCCGCTTATCAATAAGCTACGTCTTGACAATCCTAGCATGTTGCAAGCATCACAAACTTAGTTTGAACATGTCAGACCTATCAAGGTGATGACGCAATCGTCAAGTGCGTAGACTGGAGCCAACACCAATGACTATCATCGGCCTTGGCTCCTCATTTTTATTTATGCGTGAACTGTTGGTATGATCATTAAGGCACTACGCGGCCTGGCGTTGCTGGCGATGCTGTTTGCGCCGCTGGGCGATGCGGGGTTATTATATAACGCTCCACCAACTGATAAGAGGAGCAACACAGTTTTCAGGACTTTGAGACAAAATCAGGTGTCTCGCACTGAAAAATTCTATGAACTCTTAACTTTCTGATTTATCTCTCCTGTACAATGCTTTCCTAGAGCCTGCAACATTAGAACTGTGCTTGTACCGTAGTATTTTTATGAAAAGTGTTCGAATCCACACAAATTCGACTCCAGGATCAGTGAAATGCGGGGTCAGTAGCAAGTTGGTCCTGCTTTGTTTTTCTTAACCAGGCTTTTGTTAATGCGAGGGTGCCTTGCTACCCCACCTTCACCAATCGTGCATTCGAACTAGAGGATTACTAAAAGTATCAAATCCAACTTACTATGCATCTCATGTACAGCCCATGCAAGAAAGCAGCAGTGGCCAATGAAATTTAGTTACCGTACTCAACGGCCCCCGCCTCTTTCCAATGGTTCACAAACGCAGAAAAATGACGTCGTTGGCGTTCTTCGGCCTTTGGTCAGGAGAGGGGGAAAGGTAAATACATGATGCGTGCCACCTGTTTCCACTGCTTCCGTGAATGATTATTTACTTTGACTAATATCGCAATACAATTGAATTTGAAGAAAGAATGGCAGACTTGAAGACACAAGAGGGAACCACCAATCGTCCGGATGAGTGGAAGATTGAGCAGGGATTGTCCGGAGCTAGCCTCCCTGTTCTTGACATGACTGGCCCTGAGACGCTTCAAATACCTCCCCAAGTATTTGGTGAACTGACCAAAGATGAAGAAGCTATCAAGGCCGTTGGTGATCGTGACAAACTATTTGTTCGTGAGAGGAAGGGTTGGGTAGGGTAAGTGAGAATAATTAGGGCTTGTATTGAAACGATCCATTAAAACCATTTATAGGTTTGTAGAGTGGGAAGATCATCCTGACAAGAAATTGGCGGCACACAAGATCCTGACTGCACAAACATTCCCACCAAATCCAGAGTTCCAGTTAGGCCCTATTCCAGGAACGAACCCTGTACTTCCTGGAACTCACTGGAAGATGTGGCATCATGCTGTCGGTGGTGAGCTCACTCAAATCCCAGAAGATTCCTGGGACATTGTTTTGAAAGAGAAGCATCCTGACATGCTTCACCTATTACAATTCCCATATAATGGAGAGCCACCTAAGCGACTGGTTACTGCTAAAGAGATTACACCAAACTCGTTGCATTTTGTCAGAAACCATGGCGGTATTCCGATTATTGACAAAGCCGACTATAGCTTCATGATCGACGGCCTTGTCAAGACACCACGTTCGTTCACTCTAGATGAGCTCATGGATCAAACCAAATTCCCTCGCATTGAGAAAGTGGTGACGATACAATGCTCCGGTACTAGACGCATTGAACAGATTCTGAAGTATCCCGGTCAAGGTGACGAAGTTCCACAAGCCCCTTGGGCGGAAGGTGCAATCAGTACCGCTAGCTATGTGGGTGTCAGCCTCAAAAAGGTCATCAAGGCTTGCGGTGGGTTGATCGACGGTGGGAAGCACCTTGAGTTCTATGGCGCCGATACCTACTTCAAAGACGACAAAGTCATGAATTATCTTGTCAGCGTCCCTTGGTCTAAAGTCAAGGCAAACGAAGTCCTCTTAGCATGGGAGATGAACGGAGAGCCACTCCCTCGCATTCATGGCTACCCTCTCCGACTCGTTGTCTTGGGCTACATCGGTGCAAGAAGTGTGAAGTGGGTGTATCGGATCAAAGCCATCGACAAGCCATCCCGGGCGCCTGTGCAAAGCCAAGAGTATCTCTATTTTCCCCAGCAAGTCGGCAAGCATAATCTGAGATTGACAGACGGGATCCAGATCCAAGAAATGCCGGTCAGTTCAGCAATCATGTCACCATGGACAAAGCAGGTGGTCATTCACAACGGCAAGATACGATGCAAGGGTTGGGCCTACTCTGGCGGAGGTCGATGGCCAGAACGCGTCGAGCTTTCGGCGGACGGCGGGTTTAACTGGTACACAGTCCCTGTCGAAAACATGTCCAAGAAGCGCAAGTGGACCTGGCGTACCTACGAGTTCGATCTTCCGTGTGACGTTGAAGGTTGGGTTGAGATTGTGTGTCGATGTTGGGACAACGCACTCAACACACAGCCTCCTGACGTCCGAACCGCTTGGAACTGGGGCTTGCATGTCACTAGCTCCTGCCATCGTATCTCGGTGTATAGTGTCAACAAGTCTAGGCCCCTAACCAAGGCTCGCCTTGAAGAGTTTGAGAAAGCCAAGATTCCTTTCGCGCCCATCACAGTACCGCTTGTGTTTCCAAGTCAGACATGGGAGGCCTATGAGAAATACTGGCAGGATTATGATCCGCGCGACGCCGATGATTTCTGAGTCCATTAGTATGTGATGAGTATTCTTCTGCCTACATGTACTTACTCGGCACAGAGGAACTATTGGATACCAGGAATTTTCGTTAGCTGTGATTCAGATGCACTGGTTGAAACGGCCAAGTTTTAACGAGTTGATAAATGTCATATAAATCTTAGCCAAAGAGGTACTGATGAGCCTCAGAGGAGGTCTGACTTAAGTGCCTCGGGCCATCCGTTTCATCTCCTGCAAAGCTCTTAGTTCTATGTAGATCAGAGAAAATTTGTCCGACAATACGCCGTTTCCTTACGTATGTATCCTACATCAGAACGCGTGTCGAAAGCGTTCCCATGTTTTATTCTTCAACAGCAATTCAAGTAGTGGCAAAGAAAGAAGCGCTAGTGCTAACATTTCAATACTTCAAGCTTGTGCTCATAGGAGTCATGGTCTTAAATACCGAGCGATTGAAGCATAAAGGACTGCCGATCCAGATCGAATGCGGAACCAAAGAAATACGTTTTAGTACTAGTGATAGATAGGTACGACCCGGCGGTTCCGCATCGTCGGCGATCGATAAAAGTATCTATGCACCATACAAGCTTATTCACAAAGCATCAACTCTCCGGTTGATTGCGCATACTATAATTGTGCTCTCTCGGTACTTCTTTGCTTCCCTGACCTCCCATAAGGTTCCGGCTTCAATATTTTTCCTTGTTCTTACTTTGATAAGCCCTATGGCTCTGCGAAATGACAACACGACCGCCAAGCTACACTAATACGAAAGTACTGCCGAAACACGTCACGCTTAGTAGTAGCAGTAAGAGCAGTGTGTATCGCGTTAGGCATCCTTGAATTCAAGTTGAGTGATTGGTATTTTGAGCAGCGCTCTGACTTGGCTTTCGAGTGTTTGCGCTCCCGGAAGAAGCTTAGCTCTGACAGGTGCTACTAAAGCCCGCGCCCTCGTTATCGAAGTAAGCGTTCCAGATTAAAAACCCAAGCCACAGCGGCTCGTATCATTGTCGCCCGTTTTCAATGATCGTGAATGGCAACTTCAATCGAGGTTTCTGCTAGGACCTCTCTTTATGCTATTGATCAGATGTTCGAGGCAGTGATGGGAACCGTGACACGCCCCGCAGCAAGGGCTTACACACCCAGGTAACAATCGGGAAAATACATCTCGATGGCGTTTTGGAGTCAGCATGGAACGTCCATACGGCTCGATAGCGCTTACTCGGTTACGGAAACATATCACTCCGACGATCCAATGATTTCTGATCGTGACCTTGGAGAGGACAATGAAGGCGTGACAAGATGCGTTGAGCAAAGACACACGATCTAGGCTGGTTATGCAGAATATAAATACATGCTTCGCTGACACCAATTGATACCCAGCAACTCCTCTCTACAGACTTATATCCACTATCCTCCTGTTTATTAGAGCACAAGTGTGAAAGAGCAACATATATCATGAAGTTTATTGCTATCATCGCTATCGTCATGAGTGGCGTGGCGGCTACAGCTATCCCAGCTGAGCTTCAGGAGCGTCAGTGCATTTTTAACGGGCGTTAGTATTTGCTCTTCACAGGCTTTTTCCGTTTACTGAAAGATATCGTTGCATGCGATCCTACAAATAATCAGTGCTGCAGTGGTCATTGCGAAGGTACTGGATCTTCCACACAACTCAAGTGTGTTGCTAATAATTCAAATAGCCGTCCCGTGTGGAAGCAGTAATGAAGTGTGCCAGCCTGCAACCACAGGATGCACATAAAGTAAACCAGGCTCGCGTTAATGGAGGTGGGGTTGCCTCCAATGGGTAAGATAGTTCTTTCATTATGTGTAGCTCCTTCAAACACATTCTCATAATAGATATTGAATTTTCTTAGATAAATTACTGGATAAAGAGCCCTAAAGAGCCTACCTACCTATCAGATACGCTTTACGGAAGGCTTGAACAAAATCAACATAACGCCTAAGCATTCTTAAGTGCTAGGCCCGAGAGTGAGACAATGCCAAGTTGTTTTCTTGTCCAATAATTGTGCCCTCTGAAGTCGTTATACTATCCGATGCGCTCTGAGACGTGATCCTTTCGTAAATGTTTTTACACAGTGTGACTACATACCCGGTCAGCTTCGTGCCATATTTACTTACGCTCAATGGGTTAAGGATCGTTGAAGGGTCCCACGGGCACCGTGGCCTTTTTTATTTGATTCCCCAAGGGATGGAAATGTAGGTTGCTAACTGAACGCTTTATAGGGAGTTTAAGCCGCTTACAAGTTACGCACGTGGCCAGTAGTCAGGCTGGAACTTATGGAATAGGTGATCTTGCGATGGTAATTCTCAGCGCCAAGTATGTCTGGGCGCAAAGATCCGGGAATCTGACGGCTCCATAAGGCTCAAGTATTTATGTTACATATTTAAGCTATTGTATGAACATCTATAGTAAAGAAGGATTTCTTTTCTAAATTGTTACTAGCGGATGAAACTTACGAAAACTAACAAAGATGATGTAGTCATGTCGAAGTGGGAAAAAATAGCCTTCAGGCAACAGTCACAGCCTCTGGGAATCGTCTAGCCGCCTCTGTAAATCCTCTCTTTCCGCGGGACTTTAGGGTGAAATCGAGAAAAGCAACGATATGAGCAACTGTAAGCTGCATCATCCGTTTCCCTTCGATCGTACCTAGCAGGTGACCGATGGCCGGTACCTGTGTGCTTCCAAGTCCCAACGCACTCATGAGTGCCGGAAGGTCAGAAAATGAATAGTGCGCCGATTTGTGGACCTCAATCTCTTTCTTCCAGCTTCGCAACTTCGGCCACATCGTCTTCCAGGATGGATCTGTTTCTTGCGTCTTGTTTGCATGACCAATTAGCATGAAGGGCCTATCAAGGCCCTTATCGAGGACGGAACCAAACATGGTTCCATCGAGATTGATGCCGCCACGCGCAGAAGGAATTTGCAGTACCGCTGCTCCTGCAGCCGCACCCCCAAGAGAATGACCCAGAATAGCTACTTGAGGGATTTTTTGAAGTTCTGTATGGATAGGGAATAGTTTCTGAGAAACATGGCTTCGGTGTAGGCTGTTGAGGGCAAACGAGATGTCGTCTGCACGGGTGGCGACTGTCTGATTGATCTTGTCGTCAGGAATATCAACACCGGTAATGATGGTCCCATTAGGATACTCGACAATATCGGCGTCGTAAGGATGGTCGATAGAAATAACTAGATATCCTGAAGATGCGATGCTTTGAAGCATGATACTATAAAGATATCTGCTGGTACCTAGCGCACTAGAAAACAGCACAAGTGGCAGAGCCGGTGTAGAACATGAATCTTGGGATGTGGACATATCGCATGCTTCGAATTCAAAAGACGGGAATGTTCCGTTGGGGAGGCCGTAGACTGAGAACTTGTTGTCCATGAAAGCGGCTGTCTGAGGCGGCATATAAGGCTTTATTCCTTTCTTTGTGCACTTCAGGACAGGATAGTAGCTTGAAACCATGATTGAGCGGCTTCGTCCATCGTTGATATAAGGATCTTGGCGATTTGTGTCCGTTAAGAGCATTGATGCGCTCCCAATTGTTATGTTGTCTTGGCCGACTTGTCCAATGGTTATTTTTGCCGCAGAAAGTAGAGGAAGAATCGCCATGTAGGCTAAGATCAAGGCAGTGGAAGTGTACATGGCGAATAACGCAAAGGGATCTTAAAAATAAGTTGTAAGATGGACTTGTTTGCATGAGACTGTTTGTTGCAGAGAATGGTCGCTTTATAGAACCGTCTCCATGCATTTTCAGTGAATGCCACTGACACATGACAGCGCTCTTTCATTTCCATATGGGGGCAAGTTCACAGAAGACTCTGCTGTACAGAAAACGTCCATGCCTTAGCATTACTCGTGTCCGACAAAATGACGATAGTGTGGTCTTCTCAAGCTGAAGATTGGTTGGTAGGAGATCAGCGTTAGGAAGGTTAGGCGAATATAGAGGGCGCTCTATTGTTTCCTAATCAGGGAAGGCGCGTGTGCAAAGCCACGTTGGCTGCGCCTCTCTAGTAGGCAGAGTCAAAACGAATCAACGCCGCAAGTGCGCTCTTTCATTCCCACATTCGAAGAAGGCTGATATTTTTTCTTGGCAAGGACGAAAAGAACATTCTATTTTTCCGTTATCAAGGCAATCTAGGCATTGGGCACAAATGGGGTCTAGTGTGGGGCCTTTCGATGGCCGTCGCGCGCGAAAGTCGAGATGTGAAGCATGTACCAAGCGGAAGATCAAGGTGAGTCAATTGGTGTCGCCAACTTCCCGCGCTGACGTGAAATGAGTGCTGCGGCGGTGCTCCGTGTGACTATTGCAAGCGAATAAAGCAGCCATGCGTGTTTTCCACCCGTCGTCCAGTGGCGCTTGTCTTTGTTGAACAGGACCTTAGTAGTAAGGCTCAGCCAATAATGGACCTCGATCGCAATTTGGCCTACTTCTTCAACTCTTTCTTACCCATGAACATCCTCACGAAGAACAACTTATCATGGCAGAGCGAATTGCAGCTTTGTTTGCACCAATCGCCTGCGTTGAGCAGTGCAGCCTCTGCTATTGCTGCACTCCATCGTTGTCAACAGGAAAAGTTGTTGTTTAACACAACAGAGGCGAGGAAGAACCAAGTTCAAGCTCTGAATTCATACAGTCAGGCTGTGAAATATATTAGGGTTGCTATCACGTCAAATTCATTCACGGGTCCTGATCTATTATGGTCAACATTCTTCTTGGCTTTATTCGAGGTGCGTGGAGACGAATGGCGAGATAGAATTGCCATCATACTAACTCCAGACAGTTGATGCGAGACAGCAGTGGCACGGACTGGCTCTCACACTTCCTGAATGGCACGTGTGCCATCCTCCGTTTGCAACACCCAGCACATCTGTTGCTGACGAATACAGATGCTAATCATAGGCGCAATTTCTTTCTCACAACTCGCATCTTCGAGATTGCTCGGGCTTTGATATATTCGCAACCCACTTTTCTGAGTGAGCCTGAGTGGACTAACGCATTGTCACAATGGTGGAGCCGTGAAGGGGGTCAAAGGCTGTGGCATCCCAAAGAGGCCTTGTTTGATATGCTGCCGCATTTCTGTGACTTGAGCTTACGCACTCTTCGCTTTGCTCAAACTGAAGAAACATACCTACAGTCCAGCTTGCATCGCGCAGAGGCTCAAAGGCTTGCTGATGAAGGCATTGAGTTGCAGCAAAGGTTGGAGCAATGGTGGATATGTGCGGAAGCATGGGGCAAAAATACATCCGAGGTGGACGCTGATCTTGTCGTAGCAAAAACATACTATCACGCCATGAGGATTTATCTCTCGGGCTCTTACGACTACCACAGGCATTGGAACCAGCCTGACTCACCGCTGGCTCCAATACTAAACAGATCGAGCATCGAAATGCACATGAACGAGATCCTTCGCTTGGGCCAGGAATTGCTTAATCACGGCCTTGCTGGCCTTTTGCTTTTCATCCCACTTCGGATCGCAGGAGCGCGTGTCTCTCACAAAAAAGACCAAGATCTTATCCTCCAACTACTCAAAACTATATCGCAAAGAGGATATGCTGTCGCAAATGCGATCCATATTGACCTTGTTGAGCTGTGGGCACGAAAGATGTGCACAACCTGAACATCTCCATCTAATCTCGTTTGGTGTGGATGGTGGCTTCTTGGAGTAAAATCGGACGTTCTTTTTGAACACCTTTGTAAGAGAACACATTCTTCCAGATAGTTAAAACCAATGATGAAAATCATACTTGAACATTGAAGACTTTATGCGTCTTCTACAGTGCCCATCAAACAATGAAACACGCGGTTTGATTGAGATGTCCGACGCCGTTAGTTACGCGGATTGGCCACACTAGGTAGAGCAAGAAGATAATGGCAATTATGACCTTAGTAGCTTATTTATCTAAAATTCATTCGTCTTTATTACACCTTATTTCACCGCATCTGCTAGAATACAACTGAATAGCAAATTTTCAAGTCCCAAGGTAGGTGACTATTGTTGAAAATGAACATGGCCAAAGCAACTTATACCGCTTAAGTTGAAGACGGGTACTTCAGTCAAGGATTCCTTCCTTCTACTTTTTGCATGAAACATATCCTATAGCCCTTATCTGATTAGCAACCTATGCGTGAGGTGTTTGGTCACCGCTTACAAAACACGTGTTGGTGTCAAAGCGCTACATAAATAATACATGGGCGAAGATGTTACTCGTTGCCAGGAGGACGCAAATGCTGACGTGAACAGGTTTCTTGGGGAAAAATAAATACTAGCTACCAGACTATACTTTGTATGGCTCAGTATAGTACTGCATAGACCTGAGTTGGTAGGTAATACATCTCTGAAACAGCATATTTGTAAACAACTAACGACATGTCCCATCCTCGTCACAATGAGTTGTGCGGCAAACGTCGTGACAACTTGGAAGTTTAAGACTTCCGAAGGTTGTATCTGATGTGTTCGACGTGTTGGGTGTTTGAACTGGCTGGGGCGGTTGAGATGTGGAGCTGGGGCTAAGGTTGGACGGCGTGCATGCAATAAGGCACGCGCATAGCAAACGCCCTATGGGACTATCGCAGCCAGTGTCCTTTGGAAAGAAGAGTTAGACTGAAGTTCAAATATGAAGAAGCGGTCGAAATTAGGAGCTCATACTGGTGCAACACTGAATGAGTCAATTTGTTGGCTAGGGGCGGCAAGGGCCATGCTTGCGAACGCAAGCGTAAGGGACAGGGAACCAAATCTCATTTTGATTGACGGAGTTCAAGTTTGAACGGTTTTGGACAACTCTTAGGTAGGAAACAAAAGACAATCGATGTGGTAGTTAAGAGATAGGAAGAAGGATCCCTCGTTATATATGGATATATATATGTATATATATGTCTGTATGTACACAGAATTAGACAACTATGCCGATACACGGACGGGAAGCTTGGGTACTCTGACGTGAGACCGTAACCTAAACCTCGGTGGGAAGTCTACTCGCCTACTAGCCTTATTTCATTTAAGCCTATGCAAGCGTTCCTTTTTCTTCTTTCTACATTACATAAAAGTTGAATAAATGAAAAGGCTCCAGTCGATGGAGTTATCGAGATGCAAGAAGTGGGCCTTTGATGCGTTCTCGCCGGTATCGTTGAAACAACTCGCAACAAAGCTAATTCGCAGTCATTCGCGAACATGGCAGATTTAGGGACGTGCACTGAGTCTTGGAGCTCTATTGGCTAAATTGCTGGTATGAAATTTTTATCAGTATAATATGGAAACTTTATGCGCTGCGTGAAACAAGCAATGCGGCTCACATTATCGTAGCGGTCTGACCTGGACAGATTGCGGAACAAATCATCCATATGCCTTATTAGAGTCATAAGGTTCAGTCAAGTCCCGCCCCCTACAAAACACCAATTGGGAGCACTATAAATAACCGGTGGAAGAATCTGAGATGAGATCGTTGCTTTACGAATTCGCACAATCCGTGATTTCTATTAATAAATAAGCTGTATAAATGGAATGCTTGAGGCTTCGTGCTTATTCAAAGTGCTTATGATTACGGCTCTTGTCCTGAACTTTACGGGCATACCCACACCGCCCTAATGAGTAATACAATGTCATTTCTGTATCCCGTTGTTTCTCTCTTTAGAGTAAAAATCGTATTCACTTAGACCCATTGAAATATTAAGTTCCTCGCTTAGCCGAAATGGGGAAACTCGATGGGATTGTTTTTACGGCCATGTTGGGAAAAGAATCAACGAGATTATAAGAAGGAAGGAGAAGATGGGAGTGGGGATCGGACCGGGTAACATACGATTGCAATATATCATTTTAGCCATTAAATCGGGCCAGAGAAATTAGAAATGGGCCGACGAATATGATCACTCTCCTCCGTAGTCTGAATGGCGATATTGAAAGCTCGAGACGCAAAGATCAACAAGCTTACTCGTTTGTGTATCCTCATATCTGCAAGACAACCATGGTCTCTACTAACTCTTGTTTTTGCTTACTGCGTAAAGCTATCGAGTCATCCCAAATCTTTTGCGCATCGTCGTTAGCATTTACTGCTAGCGCTGCACCAAAGGGCCACTTACGGAGGGACGCCATTCCAATTGAATTGCAAAAACGAGAAAGGTGTGTAAAGAGGATGTCGATACATATTCGTGCGCACCTAACTAGAATTTGTAACTCATCACATATTACTCTTCGTGTTATAGGCTAACTAAGCAATACTGGTACGGTTGCCCATGTTCAAGAAACGGACGTGACTGATCGTACGTAACATGCAGAATGCGTGGATGGAGGTTATGGGGATATTATTACTTCAGTATAGTCTTTTTGAAACTATGGATGCATAGATCAGAGATTTACTGGCATATTCTTTGTTACTGAGATATCCCCTCTTGGTAAGAGTCTAGTTACGTGACCCTACGTGACCCTGCACACCCGCGCGGATTATTTCCTTCAACTGGGTACTTCATTGCCCTACATATTCATCCCTCTTACTACATGTGATATAAGGAACAAGTTTCGCGCTAATTCATTACAAAATTCGCAATGCACTAGTGCTAAAAGAGCTGTTTAGAAAGTCTGCTGGTGACTAAAATTAGATATTTAAAACTGTTCATCACACAATAACGTTTCTAGATATTTTCAGTTTAAAGCTCGATGTGTTTTAGTTCGGATTCTGTCCATGACCATAACTCCTTAGCTACATCTTCATCTGGTGCATCTCTCCTCCCCTTGAATTCTTTGCCAACTGGGTAGTACATTCCACCATTTGTAATTGTTTCACGTGGCACCGTGCATGCCCACAATTGATTCAACGTCCCTGTTGGAATATCGACAGACGCTGCGTTTCCTACAAATCGCAAAAGCCACTTCATGATGGGGTTTGACATTGGGCCGTCCATAATGCCTGTGCGAACCACTCCTGGGTGGACTGCGATTGTTGTGATGGCAGGGTTGGATTTGGCCAGGCATCGAGCGAAATACATTTCAGCAAGCTTTGACTGTCCATAGCGAGTCATTGTGTTAATCCGTTCAAGTGTAGTTTTGACCTCGGAGAGAATCAAACCCTCCTTAGGTGCAAGGGTATGCAACGCTGAACTCACAAAGACAACACGCACGTCGCTGCCTAGAACTGCAGCTGTTTTCTCCAAACAAGGCAAGAGCAATCTTGTGAGGAGGGCTGGGCCCATATAGTTGGTACCGAATTGGATCTCGTAGCCATCTTCCGTAAGACCCGGTGGGCACGCAAAGATACCGGCATTATTGACAAGGACGTCGAGACGATCGCCCTCTGACAAGAACACACGTACAGCTTTGGCTATAGAGGAGAAAGATGCAAGATCGATCTCAAGAAAGACAACATTTGCCTCCGGTATCCCTTTCTTAATGGCGGCGATGGCGGCCTGAGCTTTTTCTTGATTTCGAGCTCCGAGGTAGATCCTGGCTGGGTTGTGTTTTGCAAGCTGATTTACGGTCTCCTTTCCCAGGCCATTATTCCCTCCGGTAACGAGAACAACTCTCCCCGATAGGTCAGGTATTTGCTTATCAGGATTGAATGCTTTTTGCTGATTGAAGATCATTTTTGTGTTGGTGCGGAATGTATCAAGGCTATTCGAAGGTAGTTCAATGAACGGAACTAATGAACAATAGCTAGAATGTCTTTCAATATTCACAGGAAATGCCCACGCATTTATGGTTTCAGTCAATTTGAACAAAAGCACACTAGACAAGGGTCGCATTGAAGACGGGGATAGATCGCCTTCGTGGTTAGTGTGTAAGCCACGTGTGCCGTACATCATCGCATTCATCTACGTGCCAATACCGACGAAGGTACACGTAAACAATGGGTAGTCATTAGCACTGCAAGAAGCAAATCTGGCGAATCTCGTGAATCTCAGGACTATCGGACAACCGAAATAGTCTAGGATCTGCGAAATTTGTCAGCTACCGGTAACTCGGTGTCCCATCTTACACTAGGGTACCTAGTAGCTTTTCACCGAAATAAAATGGCTGTCGTATATATGCTTCCCGCTTTGCCGCTAGGTACCGCCAAGTTTTTGATAGAACTAGAACAGATAACACTATATCTCTAAAGTATTAATCAATATATGAAATATAGTAACCTACTGAAGTGATTCATCACCGCACTCTTAGTTTCTTTTCGGAGATAGTGGTTTCGAACAGTGCTATAAAAATCTCCATCTTATCTTCCACTAGAGGAGTATGCAGTTGCATTAATGGCTTCGCATAGTGATATAGAGCTAAAGTTGCACTTTCCTTCAGTGCTGCTTCCCAAAATTAACTATAGAATTGCTTGCTCTAAGTCTCACCCTCCATACGTTGAATCATAACCCTATCTCCTTTCAAGAAGATCTCCTTACAGGCCACTTGGTTACTAGGCACATCCAAAGAAGGCCCTGCAGTTGATATTGGAAACGCATTGGAAAGTACCCACACCATGTGCACCGTTTTTGACGACTCGTCGTAGAGTGCAATTCGTACGTCCTTCTTTCCGCTCTCGTGTGAACCATGAGTATATAGCCATTCTAGTACTATTTTGAATTGTTCGTGGAAGACAGCTTTCCCTAGCATAATGCTTAGTTGCTCATCGTTGGTTGTAACAACGAAGCGGCGTGAAGGAGTCGGATACGTAAAATCAGTTGCTCCAGCCATGGCAGGTCGTTCAATGGTTGGTCATGTCTGATTGGACATTTGAAGGGTATGCCAGCCCTGTTAACGTAAGACACATATTGCGCGGAATTTAGCGTGCTAATTTGTTTGTATAAGGAGCGGGGTGAAATTTACTCAAATGTGTCATTCATTTTCTAACCATCTCTTATTAGACCTAGAGAGAAAATTCTTTCTACTCTTAGTTATAATATCTTAGCTTAAGAGGTACTTAAAAGATCTCTGAAGGTCGTTCTCTACTTTAGTATATTTTAACACTAAGAAGCTTAACACTAGAAGTCTAGTAGTACTTCGACTTAAGCTACACTCTTAATATAATTCTCTAATACGTTTCAAAGAGAGATAATATATCAGCTAAAACATAGAGGCTAAGTTAAGTTAAATTTATTTCTACTTTTAACTCTCTATACTTCTATTTTTACTCAAACCCCTACTTCCACCTTTACCCTACTCTCTTCTTCTCTTGGCTATGTACGTAGCGGCTAAGTTTAGCTGCACGTAAATCAATAGTCGCCTTCAGTGCCAATTAGGTGCGAAATGCACTCTAGTCCTGCACAATAACCCTTATGAGTGCAATCTCCTATTCTCACTTTTAGTAAGAATTAAAGAGAAACGAGTTGTTATGATTATAAAATAGCGAACTTACCAAAAGCCAACACGCAAGACGCCGTAATCGGATGCTAGCACTGAGGGACAGCAGCTACCAGAGTAGTGCTGAAAAACAACAGAGCGACAGTGGCAAAGGTCTTCATCTTAGCGTTTGAATATCGATCTCGAGTAGATGTTTGTTTGAATAATGTGTTATGATATCGTTGTGATGAAGAACTGCAAGCATTTTATAGAAAGAAGATGGATTATGAGAGGGCCTGTACTGGTATGCTTATGTTCTATACCCATCAAATAGGGTTCAATTTTCGCCGCCAATCGATGTGTGCGCGCTGGCTAGCAGTGTGCGTTCGGAACCTAGTGGACCGAAAGTAGCCAACGGAATGCATTACCTTACTATCATGTCTTCAAATCTGCCCTCTTGTTAGTGGATTCTAGCTTACGGGTCTTCTGTTCCGAAGAGAGAGCTGTTGGTAGCTTTCGGTAATACGAAGGCCAATATTAAATGCGAGGTAACATCAACTTTGAAGTACGTTCTCTACTTTGGCTCTATCCAGATACATGAAATCGCACAGTATTCTAGGTGTTTCTGTGATCACGAAGCATACTTCAGCTTACAATGCATCCACAATAGTCCAATCACGCGTAAGCTCACGGCCCAAGCCGGTACAGTGTTTAAGAAGTTGCATAGATTTCAACAAATGCCATTGCCAAGATCATGACACAAATACATTTGTGGCTTACTGCTTACGGGAAAGTAGTGATAAACGGTACATATCATCATCTGATCAGCCATCCGCCACTCTCCCCATATATCAAAGTAATCATGTATTGAAACAAAGCCAGATAAAGAGAGCACGCAAAGGTTCTATTTCTCTTCTTTTGTCCTTTTGGGGTAATATATTATTGACTTATAGGTGTAGTTTTAATATTGTATTCAACGAGTTTAAGGACGTTAAGGTGAATACGATTAAGTGTCATGCAATGGTTCATTCAGTAAGCCTGTTTAGCCTATCTTACAGGAAGGTTTGACACGTCATGAACATTTAGCTTTCTGTGAGGTGATGCGGACGCAAAGATAATCTATTAGTGTCCTCAGCATCATCGCTCGAAACTGGTTAGCAAATTCCGTATTTCCTATTCTTCCTTGGGTTGTTTGAGAAATCACAAGTCATTATAGGCCCGGTCTTTGTTTTCATTTCATCAGCAACAGCCTATGATGCTCTGAAGGCAACATGTTCAACGGTTTTCTACGAAACACACAATCTCAGGTTTCTTACCAGTGTCTCTCTTCTCCCACAAATATCCGTGTCGAAGAAGGAAATAAAGATCCACACTTGTCTGCAACCTATAAAAAATTCCGTTTTCTTTTTTTTGTACAATTCGCAGGGATTGTTTTCACTGCAATCTTTGTGGTTGGTCTTATCTATTGGACAGTCCAGCAATTTTCAATGACAATACCACTCCTAAACCCACGTCTTAAGTTTCTTCAATTGATTTCTAGTTTCCCGAAAGATCTTTTATATTTGATCAGTTCGCAAAGTACCCGTCATGTTTGGACCAGACGATAAGTACAGTGACGCTACTCAGAAGAGTAACCATGAACGGGATAAGCTTCTGTCCGGTATGTCAACAGAGGATCTTATTTCAAAAGATTCAATAACTTAAACTACATTTTTTAGATCGAGCAGGAGGGGTTTTTGTTTTTGTGCCGAGCCCTCGTAAATACAATCTTCCTCCCGGTATTCCTACTCAACATGAGAGGAACAGTACGGTATCTCAATGTATCACCAATCACATTGCTTGGTGAGGCGCAAACACTACATCTTGTGAAAGTTGATCCAGCTAATTGAATGAGTAGAATGTGATTCGTGTGGCACACTTTGGGTTGGAACAGGGAAGGGAATCGCATATTACTCCTAAAACTAACTTAACTAATGAAGAAAAAGATAAGTCGAGGCAGGAGCACATTGGCCACTGCTTTGACTATCTGAGACAAGCTATTATGTGTTCAGCAGACACGACGTTAGTAGGTGCACTCCCAGAATCTGCTAAATCTGGCGTTTTCGAGTTTGATGGGTGGGGATTTACCCATATGTGCAGAAACTTGGAGGATTTCAACAGTTGGGTCTCGCAATACTAAATTTCTGTTAAGAATGAGTAGAGTCGATCACTTGGTTTATTAGATACAAATCCAGTGTCATCTGTTTGAACTCAACCGTTTAGCTTCAAAACGTTTATAAGTGAAGCTCTGCTTTTGAATCTGATCAATAATGAATTTAAAAGGGTAGAAACTGTGGTTTACATGAGGATAACAGGAGGAGTGGCCGGGGTCCATCACATTGGATACCAATGGCGCCCGCTGTTCAACCAGCAGAATTAGCGATGAGCGGGCAGACAGAGGTGCTGTTGAATTGAACCAACCAGAGACTGAATTTTACGGCCATACATCAAAGGTTTCGCTCGTTTACGGGACGCGCTCCTTATAATTGTACCCAGCCGAACACCAAAGACGTTTCTTACCGCCATAACTTTGAGGCACACCATCCCCCATGTGACTTGAATCAATCAACCATAGCAGACTCAGAATTTCGAACCTAGAAATTCAATCTATTCCATGAGCAGTGATCATAAATAGAGCACTGCGAGGTCAACTTCAAGACGTGATGAGATGCTGAGTGCGGGGGGGGGCTCGAGTCTTGAAGGTTGCGCGTAAATATTATTAAGAATCATCATTCTCTGCGCAAGTTCTCAGACACGATTGTCCTTGCACTTACTAATAGGCTGCATCGGCGTTTTCGGCGAGAGTGCGCACCGATGCATGACCCCGCCGGAGCAGAGTTAGGAACAGGAAAAGTCGAAACCCCCACAAGACATTCTGAAAGGCTTGAGACCACGGGACAGGTCTTGTTCTGGTGGTGATTACCGACGAATAAGTAGGCAACCAACCTGTGGGGCGATAAGTTTGAACCCTGAAGTTCCACAAAAGTATCCACAGTCCAGAGCTCCAACGGCTGAAATGGGGATGTTTTCTGAGGGGCAAGATAAGAACCTCGGGTGATGATCCGATAGCTGATAACAGCGTTTAAGAGCAATCAGTTATGGCGACAAAGTCGCCTCGCATTCGTTGCTTGATGTTGCGCAAATTCTCTTCGCTCAGTCAAGGTCTTTTGGACAGCACAGTGAAATCGTGAGAGAGACAATGGTAGAATCGGAGAAGCAGGACGTGGTCGCGACCACCACGTTACAAAAAGGCGATGGACATTCAATGACTGCCGACGAGAAGCGGCTGGCCGAGATGGGTAAAAATTTCACCCGACAAATGAACATTGAAACAAGCAATTGAGAAACTATAGGTCACGTCCAGGAATTAGAACGGCATTTCTCGAAACTATCGTTGATAGGACTCGCGTCCACGACAACCATATCATGGACAGGACTTGGTTTGGGCATTGTTACCGAAATCAATGCTGGAGGGCCTGGCGCAATCATCTATGGGTTCGTTTTAGTCACAATCTTGCAATGCTTCCTTGGTGCTTCGCTCGCCGAGTTCGTGTCAAGCTATCCTACTGAAGGAGGAAGTAAGTTGGGCGGGGAACACAGCCGAGATTTTTGCTCTACGCTGGCATGATTCCAACTTAAAATATCTTTGCACATATTCTGACCAGACGTCTAGTGTACCACTGGATCGCTGCAGTTGCGCCTCGAAACCAGGCACTTTTCCTCAGTTTTCTCACCGGCTGGTTCACAGTCTGCGGCTGTACGTCGTCTTCGCACATGACCTGCTCTACATGCGCCTGATTTGTTCCATTCTAGGGATCTTCACCACAGCATCCACCAACTTGATCTATGCTCAAACACTAGGCGCACTGATAGCCCTCTACCACCCTGACCTCACCGTAAAGACATGGGAAATATTCGTCATCTACCAAGGGCTGAACTTGATGACCGCTTCAGTTGTACTTTTTGGCAACAAGGTCATTCCAAGCCTGAACAAATTCTCCCTGTTCTATCTACAAATCGGATGGCTTGTTGTCCTTGTCACCGTTGTAGCATGTGCGCCAACATACCAGAGCCCCGAGTTTGTATTCCGCACCTGGATAAACAACACAGGCTGGGAAAACAACGTGATTGCTTTTGCTGTCGGCTTGGTCAATCCTTTGTACAGTCTTGGTGGACTTGATGGCGGTGAGTAGCTATGCGCATGTTTATTTAGATTCTGAATTGACAAGATGCAGTAACGCACATCACGGAAGAAATGCCAAACGTAAGTCTGTACATGACATCCTTTGATTGATTTGGGTGAGCGAAGCTGAACACATCACTAGCCCTCGCGTAACGCACCATTAGCCATTATGATAACGCTCATCATTGCCTTTTGTACCGGCATTAGCTACTTGATTGCGTTGATGTTCAGCGTCCAAGACTACAGCGCACTAGCAACCACAAATACTGGTCTCCCTTTAGCAGAGCTCTTCCGTCAAGCGACACAATCAGCGGGTGGCGCATTCGGTCTCACATTCATCCTCTTCATCGCACTGGGTCCGTGTGTCATATCCTCTCAACTTTCCACTTCCAGAGTCCTGTGGGCCTTTGCCCGAGATGGGGCTATTCCTTGGTCAGCGACATGGGCACGCGTTAGTTCACGCTTTGGCATACCATTTAATTCGCAGCTCCTGGTGGCAGCCGCAAATGCAGCGCTGGGCTGTCTTTACCTGGGCAGTTCGACCGCTTTCAACGCCATGCTCGGATCTGCAGTCACCGTCAACAACATCGCCTATTACATCCCCATATTGACAAACCTGCTGACCGGTAGGCGAAATATGTACAAGGGTGTGTTTCACATGGGGAGCCTCGGTTTTGTGGTTAACATTGTAACTCTTTGCTGGCTTACGTTTGCCATCATTTTCTTTAGCTTTCCTTATTCTATGCCTGTTCAGGTCGCGAGCATGAACTACACATGTGTTGTGGTTGGCTCCCTGCCCATTTTGATAGTTACCTGGTGGTTTTGGATTCGACGGACCTACAAAGAGAAGATGTCGCGGACCAACAGATGGGAATGATTTCGAAGCAAGGGTATTCGAAGAGGGCTGGATACGGAAACTTTGTTACCCAGGCTCAGAGTTAGTGTTAGGGGCTTGAGATAGCGGTAGTATACTTTCGCATGCAAAAGCTGGGGTTTCCTAGGCTTCAAAGCTCTGATGAAATCTAAAAGGATGTTCTTTTGCTCTACGGAGACCGATAACATGGCGATCGATATATTCTTACGCCTATTTCGAGTAAACGGTACTACGAGTCGAATTAAGAATCCGGACTTCCACAGTGGTTTCGAAAATGACATGAGGCAAAGACGAAGCTCCGATCATGGACACTCATGGCTAGCCATTGTTTGGAACATGCGAGTATAGGAGGAGAAAACGGATGCCAGCCATGAAAACTGTTACGTTCATGACTTTAGTTGCTTTTACGTATGTGTATGGCGTATGACCTGAACTTGTTCTATGTGTTTGGCGTATCGCATATGAGGTTGTTATTCTCGGAAAAGAATGGCAGGCAACGATCCACCCTGGCATGATTGGGCATCAAAAAAAGATTTACATTCATAGCATATCAAAATGCCTATAGTAGGACATAGCGTTGCTGAGGGGAGTTTTGAGATGTGGGCCCATATGGCCTTATCTTGGCATGACGCAGCGCCTCGGTCGAACGCCCGAAAATAATTTGGCGGGGCAGAGCGTCCAAGGAATACTTACATGCTGCGCAACATAGTCTGCTGCTTTGTAGCACCGCCACGTCAGTCGTACGCCACTACTACTACATCAGCAGTGACCAGAGCCCCTCACTTGGCTGTCTTCAAAATAGGACGAAAACACAAGGCCCATCGCCAGCAGGCGCAGCAGGATAGGCCGTGGCGCAACGGGGAGAAAGGTCGCAAAGGCAAAGGCAGAGGCAAGCACGGCAAGATGGGACAAGACGAGTCGAGAGTAGTCGATCCAGATGCGCCGCCGCAGACACTCAAGGCGCGCACTGTAGACGCTCTCGCGCAGTATATCAAGGCTGGCCATGCCCAGAAAATCGTCGTCATGGTAAGTGTAGACTAGACGCGACGCGACGCGACGCAGGCTTTGTCCAGAAGACGCTCACTGACCATGGAGAAAAGACAGGAGCAGGCATTAGCACCTCAGCAGGCATACCAGACTTCCGATCGCCCGACACAGGTCTCTACGCAAACCTCGCGCGCCTAAACCTGCCCTACCCTGAAGCCGTCTTCGACATTGGCTTCTTTCGCAACAACCCAGAGCCTTTCTATGCCCTCGCACAGGAACTATATCCTGGCAAATTCAGGCCGACGATAACGCACTCATTCATAAATCTGCTGCATCAGAAGGGGCTTCTGCTCAAGCTCTTCACCCAGAACATTGACTGCCTTGAGCGTGAGGCGGGAGTCCCGGGCGACAAAATCATAGAGGCGCATGGCAGTTTTGCGACGTACGACACCGTCTAGCATACAGACCGAGAGCTACACACTAATGCGTCTTAGGCAACGCTGCATCGAGTGCAAAAAGCCATATCCCGACGAGCGCATGAAGGAAGCCATCCAAAACAAGTCGGTACCGCACTGCATCGACACCTCCTGCAACGGCCTCGTCAAACCTGACATTGTCTTTTTCGGCGAACAGCTTCCCTCGGCCTTCTTTGAGAACCGCGATCTCCCTGCCGAGGCCGACCTTTGCATAGTCATGGGCACATCGCTCTCCGTCCACCCTTTCGCGTCGTTACCACAGCTCTGCGAAAACAAAACACCGCGGCTGCTCATAAACTCGGAAAGAGTCGGCGACCTGGGCACGAGGGCAGATGACGTATTGTTACTAGAAGACTGCGATAGCGGTGTGAGGAAGCTGGCTGAAGCGTGCGGATGGCTGGATGATCTAGAAGCGCTCTGGGCTACAACGGCACTCACTGACGACCCGGTGGTGCCGAAGGAACAAGTGAAAAAGAGCCGAGACGAGCTCTTGGAGGACGAAATCGAGAAGCTTACCAGAGAGGTTGAAGACAATTTGAGCCTGAGCAAAGCTCAGCATGAGTGGCTTCAAAACCATGTGGATAATAAATTGGCAAGAAAAGAAGATGACTCGGTGGACCAAGAGGACGAAAAACCTGGTCTACAGCCGCCAACGGATCCAAACTCGAAGATATTGGCGCCACTGGCGAGTGCCGGGAATACGAACTCAGATCCTGGGGGTGGGCTGGGACATGTTTTTCCACATATCAAGAAGCCCTGATTGATCGTACGAATGAATAGATGATGCTACATGTGGATTTGTGTGTGTGTGTGTGTGTGTGTGTGTGTGTGTGTGTGTGTGTGTGTGTGTTTGTGTGTTTGTGTGTGTTAGAAATAAGAGGATACAACTATAGAATCATTGGTAATGGATGGTATTTAGCCTGTAACTCAAGCAGCCGCCACACAGCTGATATGTTAGTTGTGAAGACAATTCAATTGTGACATGGGTGCATATATTGGTTGCGTTTAGTAGTTTGTTGTTTGCCGGTCATCTGCAGGGTATGGTCAGTTTCTTTCCAATCCAATTCTACAGTAGCGCAGGGGAGACACGTAATCGCAAAACTTACAGTTTGCACCCATTGCCTTTCTCAACTTGAGCGTCACAGCCTCGGCATCCAGATCCTTCTTGTCACCCGTCTGGATCTCGACAGCATAGGTCCTGATAACCTGCTTGACCTGTCCACTCTGAAAGCTCATCTTGGCTTTGCGCATGACTTTTGTATGGGGGCCTATTATACGGAATGATATCAACGTTTCCATCTCACTAGGAAAAAAAAGTCTTGAAGTTGAGGATTGGGTAGCAGCAGCTGACGATCAAGATCGAGTTGGAAGAAAACGAAATGTTGCAATAGACACATACCTTGCCAAACCACAAAAGCAAACTTGACGCGCTCACTGTACTCATCGTTTCCCAGCTTCATTCGCACATATGCATAGGCTGCCTCGTCGTCCCCGAGACTCTCTGTCATCTCGGCAATCTCGCCTGTGCCTGTGGCTGCCAGCTTCAGATTGTCTGAAGTCGCGGAAGCATACTGCCGTGGCATGTTAGCGCTTCGAATAGAAAAGCCATGTCTTGGAAGAAATGGAGCAGGGCTTGCTAAGGGTGTCTCGTGACAAGCTTCGCAGAGCATTGGAGGGCCAGAGACAGGGTTTGAAGGTACTCTGCATCAGCTGGTCCTTCCAAATGCGCTATGTAACAAAGACAGCAGTTGGTCGGGGCTATAAAGCTTTTCACGTACCTTCAGAATGAGCCAGGTTGTGTCCGATTTGTCTGACCGCACATCTTCGTATGCCTGTGCGATATCAGGGTCGTTGAGAATATCAGCTGCAGGCGGCATCGTGACTATGCTAGATGCCAATCTGAGGGGTTTTTGACTATGCGATCGAGGGAGATGTGAGCAAAAGAAGCCGGGTTGGACAGGGATAGGAAAGGTCACGAAGGGGAAAAGGATGAGGAAGTTGGGGATCCAGGGTCGCGAAGCTAACTACGGCTAGTGCGGGGCTTTAGGCTTGACTTAGTGGGGGTGACGATTTAGCCAATGAGGCGGCAGGAGGTGGAGGTTCCTGGGTCCTTTTGAGCCGCTGGCGGTGTGGGGTGCACGATGCGTCTTGTGTCCAGCTCACCAACCGTCTTTGCACATGAGGAAACATCAGAGTCTGCGTACTGAATAGCCATTTTGGAGGAGTTTCGAGCAACGATTGATCTACTAGTTGTATGAAAGCATATCAGTGTCTAGGTGACGGGTTCAAGTCATGGCACTACTCGTGCCCCAGCCGTGCGAAGCATGTGATCAACGACGTAGCATTCCAAGCTCGCTTTGCAGTGGAAAGGGCCGGTTACCGCAGAAGGGAACACGATGGTTCTTGTCGAAGTTCTAGACTAGAACTCGTAGGAACATTTGCTGGCATCAGTCGTTCAGTCAGTCTATGCTTGGGTTTGACGTGGCTGACAACGTAACGCCATTGCGCGTTAGTGCCTTTCCTCATGCATCCTGGGGTAGAGCTCTACTATCAGGAACAACAGATTTGGAAAAAAAAATAGCAATATTGTTTTCATAGGCACAAGTAGAATGAGGAGACCAAGGGCAAGTACACGGCGTGCATGGCCGGTGGAAACGAGGTTGAACAAGCCTCTGCAACGTGTGCTGTGATATTGGGTCGGAAGTCATTTTGTAACGAGGCGAGAGTGAGGATGCATGCATGCTGAAGTTGACGTGCGTTGGTGTCTGGCTTGCCGGATGTCGTGCACAATTCCTACCGTTCTTCTGGATGGGCAGCTTGGCAAAAGAAGCAAATGGTCATATTCGAAGACTGTCCCGTTTAGTTGGCATGCCGTCGGAGCATGGAAAGACATGATGCGCGCGGAATTATTCGTGATGCCCACAGCCATCACTTGATGTCGTGCGCACAAATGCAGATTCAGTTGGCACTAGGCAAAACCAAACAAGCTCGTGGTAAGCAGTCCATTGTCTGCCAGCTTTGGAGAGGCGAGCGAGCAGTACTATCGTCCATGTGGTTGGCTTGTTAGCGGGCATTGGTGTTGGGCGGGGCTGGCAGATGGAAACAGCCATCACGTGAGGCCGCGACAAGCCGTCTATGGCTTCGGCGCGCAACGCCGGCGGGACTGGCCGGGTTGCAGTAAGTGTAAGGAGAGGCGTAGAGGCAGCAGATCAGCGAAACAGAAGTGACGAGGCAGGGAAAGGAGATTGAAGTCCATTGCCGGCAGCATATTTGGAGGGGGGAAGGGGGGAGGGGGGCGGCAAGGTCCCAGCCAGGTACGAGGCAGGAGGCTCGAAAGGAGCAGGTGCTATGGGCGCACGCGCAACCCCGCGGAGCTTTTGTTGATGCTCCTCCGCATTGCCCGTGGCATTGCGCCAACAGGACGATTCATCACTGCAGAGCTACCAGATACCAGGGGCATGCCCGCTTGTTGTGATAAGAAGTGCCCGAGAATTGGCAGAGGCTTGGTGTGGTGTCGACCACGGCTCCGTTGCTGTTGCTGTTGTTGCTACTGCTGTTATTGTTGTTGTTCTTGTTGTTCATGTTGGTGTTGAGCCGGCGTGGGCAGCCTCCCTATTATTGGGCCCAGCCACCACGATACATCCATGGGAAACCGCGGAATTGCATCATTGCGTCGTAGCCGGTCAGTCCAACGCCCTCTCAAATCTCCTCCCATAGCCCTGTTTTCTTTTTGCTTCTCCCCCCCCGACCCAAATTCCCCACGTTTGGTCAACTGCCATCTCCCTCCTTGTCGCTCTCTGCTACCGCGTGCAATCGCTGGCTGATCTGCATCCCCCACAACCATCGCCGGCTTCTCCGGCCAACAACACCCACCCAAACTCGTGTTCCCCCAGACGACTAAACACATCCCGAGTGTACCACGGCAAGCCTCGCTCCACCAATTCTCACAATGCCGGCCTTTCGCCAGCACTTGGACGCCGTCGCCGCGCAAATAGACAGAATAGCTCCCCGTGACGCCATCCGCACGCCCCGGCAGCCTCTCGTCGGCGCGCCTGCAATCGCCTTCGATGCGCCCAAGGCAGCACCCCTGACAAGGCGGCAGAATGTCATATACGCACCACAAGGCATAATACCTACCTACTACGATTTCTCTGGGCCAGAGCCTGGCACCGTTGTCGGCATTGTCCTTGGTAGTGTTGCCGGCTTTCTCCTCATATGTTGGTTGTTGCAAACGCTCGTCAATGGCTCGCGATCCGCCGGCACGACCGCAATGGCCGGAGAGGAGGAGATTGTAGTGCGCAGACCGCGGCGCAACTCACATGGTGGTCGCTCATCACGCCGCCGCTCTGAAGTACGCGAAGTGAGTAGGAGCCCCCGCACGTCCGGCGCCCGGTCGCACATCATTGTCGAAGAGAGACGGCAGCCGGTAAGGGCAAGGAGCATTGTTGTGGAAGAAAGACATCGCGTGCCTGGCGATAATGTAGTCGAGGTCATCGAAGAACACGAGGATTATCGCGAGAGAAGAGGAAGCCGAAGAAGCGGGTCTGGCTATCGGTGAGTAGCCAAACATCTCCTTCAAGCTAAATGATGTATACTAACATGCCTAGATAAGCCGATACTAGCTATCATGCCTTACTTTCTCCCTTGCCTAGATATAAACCCCCTAAACCACCGATTGTATCATATGCAATCGCCTCCTTCCGACACACCACCAATACCCAGCAAATACGTCTTTTTACTTCCTTCTTCTTATTCACATATCCCTCGGCCAGTTCTTTCTGGCTTCTTTCTGGGCTTTATACCATAATACAGCCATTCTCCTGGCTTTAGGCGTTTTAGCACAAAGGTTGGGATGTAGTGCATAACGAGTTCGGAATGACGAGGTATATATGAGCCACACGTTACGTATAGTCATGTACATCTCTAGTTTGGATGCTTTGAGAAAAGACGGTCGAGTTGACTCCACGTTTGTAATTGTATCGTCAGCGATGCGCAAAAAAAACCCCATTCGAACATCATACATGAACACGATTCCAGACGTGCTAAACCGGCAAAATACTAGACCAGAGCATCTCTGTGAATCGAAATTAGGTACCACCGGAGTACTCGTACTACTGGGAAAATGAAATGAAGCAATCTTGGGGAAACCTTTTTTTTAAGCTCTGCCGATGTGCATGTACAGGTTCAGGAGAGGTCACGCTTGCGAAAAATTCTTGTAGTGAGCGATCAGACGAACACGTCCCATGGTACGAACACTCTCTATCTTATGTGAGATGTGAGAAGGATCATCCTTACATATTCTCCAGCACCTGTGGGTAGGACGACTATTCAACTACTAGCTTCTCCATAAGGCGTACTTGACATGCGCCTACCTTCTTTCAGTTAGCTCTAAACGTTCCCTAGCCTGTGCGTTTGACACATCTTAATGGCCCGCCTCCCCATGTCCCCCTCAATCATTACCCCGCCGTTATACCAGGACTACTGTTACCATGGATAAAGAATCCAGGATCTGTACGGGTGATCTAGACTGGTTTTTCTCTTACCAAAACAACCACGTCGAAATGGACCGGATGCTGGACGATGGCAGCTTCGCTGACCTATCTGAAGCATTGAAAGCGGTGAACGCTGCACCGTCCTATTTCAACGACCAATACCTTGCCGAACAAACATTTCGAGTTTCTCCAAATAACTCAACTGCCTCCTCGTCGCCCTTTACGCCCGGAACTTCTGTCTTGAGGCCCAAGCTCGGCAGTCGTTTTTCAAGAGAAGTCATCCGAACTTTGAAAGACTGGCTTGCAGTTCATCATCAACACCCATATCCAAACGAGAATGAGATGCTTGATTTGCAAAACAGAACTGGTCTTAACAAAGCGCAAATGACAAACTGGTTTGCAAACGCGCGAAGAAGGGGGAAAGTGCAAAGCGTGCGTCCAGGATCACCTCAAGCCCGTGAAAAACCCACATCGCCCATAGACATAATCCACAGGCCAGGCACTCCAGCAATAAGAAGTTCCCATGGTTACAAAGATCCGATGCAGCGTTGGGTAGAGTCGCCGCCTGAACATGAACCCGCCGCTGCAAGTGATATTGCTCGCGCTATGGCTTCTACCTCTCGTGAGTTCTTCCTCAACGCGGGCGCCCACTCTGCAGCTATTGCTTGGTATGACTAGTGCTTACTCGAGCCAGGTGAAGATACTAGGGGAGATATTGACCATGTCCAATCGTGGCAGTCGCCGTATGCAAGATCGTCGGCAAGTAGTACCAGAACGTCGCAGTCGAGTGAGTTCTCAGGCCACTGCTCCTCCGGCTCTCAGACGTCACTAAAAATGCGCCGTGCGCCACGTAAGAAACGAGGGAGCAGGCGACGTCGGCTGGACAAGGAAACAGTCACAACTCCATTGCTCATGCCCTACCAGTGCACATTCTGTACAGAGGTGTTTAGAACAAAGTACGATTGGCAACGACACGAGAAATCACTTCATCTGCCGCTTGAAAGATGGATCTGTGGGCTTTACGGGCCTCGCTCTACCAAAGAGACCATTGAAGAACCGTGTTGTGTCTTTTGTGGAGCCATCACACCAAACGATGCGCATGTTGAAGCTCATCATTACTCAGCGTGTCAAGAGCGCAACATTCGCGAACGGACATTCCACCGCAAAGATCACCTAGTTCAGCATTTACGATTAGTTCATGGTGTTGAGTTTGCAGACTGGTCAATGGCTTCCTGGATGCTGCCTATACCTGACGTTCGGTCTAGATGCGGATTCTGTGGCATAACTATGAAGACTTGGCTGGAAAGAACCGATCATCTCGCAGATCACTTCAAGTCTGGCACAACCATGGCTAGCTGGCAAGGAGACTGGGGTTTTGATAGTTTTATCGAGCCTTTGCTAGAGACCGCAATGCCCCCAGGTAAAAAAAACATCCATCTTATGAGGGTTTAACTTTAGCCGTCGACTAACCGTTGAGCAGACCTTATTGAATGGGAAA